CATTGGGAGACAAGCGGATAGCATTTCCCTGGACGGTTGTGCCCTTTCAACTCTTCACTCACTCAACTACCTACCCTACTCTCCTCGTTTCCCCAGACCGCATCACCACAAAAGAGATAACCATTTGATTCAGTGCCGGCGCAACAGGATTGCAGCCTTTCTATTCTGCATTCTGTTTTTCTATGCAGGTCGTCTGATTGAATACTTCACCTTCTTCCTCATTTTATTCTACTCTACCCTTCTCATTGCCATCGACCGTACAAAACCGTCCCACCCATTTGTGGTCTTAGTTTCCGGCTAAGCTCACGACATCTTCACCTGACTTCGGATCAACGTGTTTGTGACCCGTCCACTCTCGTTGACTGGAGGTTGCGATCGTTCTGCGACCGCTTATGCGACGCTGTTCACACAATTAGCCATCCACATAAGCCAACTGTCTTTCAAAACGTGACCATGACATCAAACACCCCCGCGGTCAGTATCTCAAAGATGCTCAGCCTTGGAATTGGCTGACAAGTTACAGACGGCTTACCCGTGGGAATGTAGGGACAAGGAAGACCAGGCCAAGGCTGCCTTTAACCATCCTCTCCGCCGTGCAAATCAGTCTCTTGCCGAAGAGAACATGAAACTGAAGCGTATTCTTCGCGAAAACGGCATTTCCTGGTCTTCCGTCGCTCTGAGCCATATGAACCAATACAATCCTTTGAAGCGCAAGACCCGATCTTCTATGACCGCTCAGGAGCTCGGTCACCCTTACCTTCCTATGGAAGTCATTCTCCGTATTCTGAAGTTCGCTATGAAGTCTCCTTTCCCAATTGTCGATCCTCTGTCCCCCCTTACACCTGAGAACATGTCTGACAAAGAGAAAACGCGAGGCAACCAGATTGCAATCAATTTCCTGGCTACTTGCAAAGCTCTTCACGTCGAAGGTACTCGTTACCTGTGGGAATCGAACAACTTTACTTTCACAACTCCTCAAGCTGTTCGCACCTTTGCCGAGCTTCCCGCCAACTTTCGCCAAAGTATCACTCATATCACTTTTCGTGTTATTGCACGATACTATGACGACCAACCCTGTCGCCGACACAAATTGGACCGCTGTTATCATGCCGATTTGAAGAAGGACCACGTCTTGAAGGTTCAGCAACGTCCAACAGAGTCTCCCCTTGTCCGTGGTGGCTTCCGGTGCTACACTTGGAACCAGATTGTCGATTTTCTCGAGGGGCTTCGTGCACCCTTCGATCCGAGTTACCGAAACAGGAAGCAGCCGCGACCACGAATGCTGCCATCTCTTGTGTCTCTCCGTCTTGACCTAGTGAATTTCTCCGACACCCTCCTCCCCTTCTCCGGATCCGAACTTCACGATATCTGCTCTCATGAACTCGGCTGCACCTTGAATGAACTCCAGGTCACGGGTATGCCCTTTGATGACACTGGCATGAAGGCATCTGCCGAAATGAGCGGCATGCTCAAAGACGAAGGTTTGTATCTTGATGGCCCGGCTTCCTATATGGCTCACTCTAGGCATCTCCAACCTCTCTCTGGCAAGAAATGGTGTGCCCGAGTGATTCGGGCGTGGAAGCCCAAGGATGATGACGACGAAGATAGTGAAAACGATTCGGATACTGTTCATGGCCACTCCCACGGCCATGTCAGGCTTGGAGCTTTGCCTCCTGCCCCGACTGAGGAGGGCCACCCAACTTCAAACCGCGACGAAGAATCAGTCATCTGGAAACGAGTGCCAGTCTCTAGAGACATGGAGAAACGGGATTGGGTCCAATTCTCTCGCTCTAGTGGATACGAGATTAGCGATCTCGATTGGGATAGCGACGACGAGGGCATCTGCCCCTGTTGCGGAGAATCCCACCCAGGCTCGTCCTTCCTGGAGACTCTAGTGGATGAAGATCTTGCTGACTGATCATCAGTATAATTATATTATCGGATATTTGGCGTTGAAAGGGGGAATCGACAATGGGGTTGCTGTGATGGATTATGTGTTTATCTCCAAACATGCATAGATACCCCTACAAGCTATGAGGATGCTAATGTTTTTTGTTGTTTTTTTGACGACCTGGAATGGAGTCTAAGGAACAAAATGGTATGGGAATATATTATGATGGGAATGGGCAAGATCTCTAGACAGGTCGACATGGCTCTAAGTCAGTGCCTAGGCAAAGGATGCCCAAGGTCGAAGGTGTAACATGGAAACACTGAACATGTGTGATGGAGTGGCGTCTTGCAACATGATCAGTTCGTATATGGTTTATAGGGGTCTATAAAATCAATCGCATTTTGTACCTATGGCAATATCCTAATAGTTGATCAGATACCCGAGTCGTCCTGTTCCATCTTCATCTTGTGTGAGAAATCATTCCATGCTTTACAACCTTCTTCGATATCTTGATAATCCTGGTCCGACACGAGGCTCGGGATTTCATCTTCTCGAACAATAAATTGTAGCGAGAAGCCTTCAGCAGCGTGCCAACCTATATGGCAGTGCATGAGCCACACGCCTGGATTGTCGGTGAGAAATGCGATTACAAGATGTCCTTTGGCAGGCAAAAGAGCAGTGTCACGGCGCGGCGGGTTTTCTGTCTTGAGGGTAACATTTGGATCGTATGGACCAGGGCCTTGAGCAAGAATATGAAAATCGAATCCATGAAGGTGGATAGGATGAGAGATATCTTGTTCTGTCTCAACAGCAAGGTAAACCCAGACATCCTTTTTAGGAACTCGAATGACAGCATTAGACTTGGTGAATGAGGCGTTGTTATTGAGCTTAAGGAGAGAGGGTTCGCCCCATTCTGCGATCATGGTGGTGCTGTTGAGCGCCCATTTGATGATGCCGTCCGAGTTCCAAGAGCGGTTGGCGTGCTGTATGACTTCCATTTCGGGAGGCCCAACGTTGTGAGGAACGACAGGTACAATGCTCTCGTAAGGTTCGTCTTGACAATGATCCTCATGCTTGCGTCCTTTCGTCGTAGGCGTAGTGCTGTTCGACGCATAAGATACAATACCGAGCGCATTTTGAGGGTTGACGTTTCTGGTGCAGTCAAGTTGAGGGATAGCGCGAAGCCAAAAAGACGATGCCTTTGAAGCTTGGTTTGCGGTCACGAGAATATCCATGCGTTCACCTGGAGAATGTTAGAAGAAACTAGATAAGGAGTGGTGAGAACAATACCAATTGCGAGGCTGATGTGGTCGGTCTCATAGGGCTCAATTGATACAAAGTCTACCGCAATGACCTTGAGAGTGTGATGATCAATAGAAAACTTATACAGAGTATCAATGCCGGTGTTGATGAGACGTAGGCGATATGTTTTGCCCTCTTCAAAGTCCAATCTGAATCTCTCTCCCGTCTGGCTCTTATAGCTATCCTTTCCATAGACATTAGTACCGTTGATGAGAACATTATCCATCAGTGCGGGACCCTCTCGCTGGACCTGATGTAGAAGTTGATTGACGGTCTTGTGCGACCAGTCACTGAGCATAATAGTTCCAACATCCTCATCATAGTTAGCGCTTGCGGGACCACGGATTATTAAACCACCATAAACACCATCATAGGTCTGGAGCCCAAAATGAGAATGATACCATGAGGTACCATACTGGGTCGCGCGCCATCTGTATGTTACTGAGGATCCAGGTGCAGTAGGGCACTGGGTAATAGCAACAACTCCGTCTTGTGGGTTTGTGTGGTTTTGATGAGTGCCATGGAAGTGAAAGGATGAACCGTTGGATGAAGTCTTGAGGTTACTTGTCATGTGAACGACAACATTATCACCCCAGTCGGCAAATATAGTTGGTCCTTGAAAAATTAGCTCCAAATTGACATATCGTTCCAAGCCGGGATTCTCATACCTGGCATCGTTCCGTTGATAGCTTGGGCGAATCTGGGGACTCCATCAGGAGTAAAGGTTATCTCACTGATTTCAAGCCAGTATTCTCTCGTCACACCAGTATTAGGAACGACCGAGTAGTAATCACTATGGATATCAAATCCACACCATTGATCTCGAGTAGAAGGTGTGTTTCCAGAACATGGTCCTTGTTTTTGAAATTTGGAATCGATGGGCTCCGGCAAGGCTGTCAAGGGCGAAGCCAAAGCGATGAAAAGAATTGAAGACAATCTGGACATTGCAACAGATGAATAAAGACTTTTCAATGACTGTAAGCATGAATTATCCCCATTGTCACGATGAATCTCTTCTTTTAAACAATTACTTGAACCCACGAGGACGGGACTTCCGCCATGAAGAAGTCTCGTCTGATCACCATACGCCCCAACCGGGATCAGCGAGATAAATTCTAGTCATATAAAGTACGGAATTACTTTAGAGCTCGTGGGAAGCCCTATATTGAGAAGCCATGGCGTTGAATTGCACTTCATCGGAAGGACCGAATATGTCGATGGCGCCGGTGACTGGACGATTCTGACGAGTTGTCTCCTGATATTCACGTGATTCGATATACAAGACCTGGTCAAGTAACTGGTCTCCTAAAATCCTGAGTATGATGTATTTTGTCATTTGTACCAGGGGGCTTGAGGAAGAGGAGCCTCAGGGCATATGATAGGCATAGATCGCATCAAATCGGAGTTACCGAGGTTCCAACACGAGCTCATGGGAGTGCCGGTCTTAGCTTCAAATTCGATAGAATTGCATCGATGTAAAGCTTTGAAGTGTTCAAGCATCGAAGACGTTCGATTTGTCCTTTGCTATACGACAATCTCGTCCTATATGTCACTGGGCTCGCCGTAACCCGAAGTCGAAATCTTTTGTCAGAGAAGAAAGAGACTATGTTTAGACTACCATACAATGACCTCAAGGGTTCATCTGGTATAGAGAATCGATCGCCTCAGCATGTGGCTAGCGTGAGTTCCTTGAGCGTCAAGGTAAGGCTCATGTAAGTGAAGTTATCTTTAGATGCAAGGATACCCAGGAAGTTCCACTGGAAGCTTCCCCGCCAACGTCACCTGACGTCGTGACTCTCCAGGCGCTTTGCGCTTTCTCTGAGCGCGCCCCTGCCTGTCGTTTCGTTGGGCGGGTATGAACTGAAACCGCGACTCCCAATTTAACATACTTTCCTTGTCTCTGTCAACACCACTCTTAGGTTTGCGCAACCCGCAACTCACAACCTGCAACGAACGATACCCTTTTAGTTCTTGGGGATTCCAGCCTGGTGCAAGAACTCCAAGTTTGCTTTCATCGCATTCAATTCACTTGTTTTTAATCAATGGCCATAGTCAATCGCCAGCAATAAACTCGACATATACAAGTCTATAATCACACGAAATCTTGAAGACTTTCAGTTCCCGACGCGCGCCGACGCGCGCCGACAACGCTTCAAGTCTTTAGGGATACCTTCTCTTCGAACGCAGGAACATCACGATGCCCCCCAGTCTGAAGGACAAAGGCGGTCGGCTTCTGGCTTTTGCCAATGCTGGCCAGCGAACGAACGAAGCTCAATCCGGGGTGGATGTTAAGCCCACGAAGTCAGAACCACCACAAAATGTTCCCACAGCTCCTATACCTCGACCTACTAGCTACCCTCGGGAGATCACGGGGCTCGGTGGTAGAAACACCGCGCCTCCAAAACAGAACTATCCTTTCAGCCAACCACTGCATCATTCACCAGTGCGCTCAGCAGTATCTTCTCCAAATGGCCGGATTAAAGCAGACTCAAGTGATCGTCGGGTCGACATCTTCTCTGGTTCGCAACTTGACGAAAACTTCATGGAGTCTGGTCTTACGACTCCACAAAACGAGCCATCCGATTCCGTTAAGCTTGGGCCGGAGTTGACTCGTGATCTTAAGAAGACCATTCCGTCACACCGCCTCCCTGACCGCAATCGATTTCATCGACCACCGCCGACAAGTGACTTATTCATTGTTGGTGACGATCTTCGTATGAACGTGGTCAGTCGGTCACAGCAACACAATGTTGATCATATGGGCGATGGTTTCCAGGATGATGTAAACGTGAGGCATGGAAAACTCAATGGCCAGCACGGGCATGGGCGAACTCGACCAGACTCCCCGGCACGACAGGACTCCAAAATTCCCATGCGTGAAGTGAGGATTCGAAAGTCACATTCCGGCCGATCAGAGGCCTATGACACGAACCAAGCAAGGAACATATCACCCAAACACCGTGAAACACAATGGCAGACGCACTACAGAAATGAGAGCTCCCGGCAGCCGACTGTCCACCATTTGGATGATGCAGATACTGAGTCTGCATCTCAGGAGGAAGAACATACAACGCCCAGGCCTAAGCCTGCCAAGCCGGTGGTTCAGAGAACTCTCTTGGAGAGCTCGATGCCAGCTACGACAAACTTCATGTCAAACACTAATCGCTTGGACAGAAAGCGACGTCGTCCAAGCCCTGAGTACGACGATGTGGCTCTTAACTCTATGACATTTGCCTCCCTTCGGCAGCAGCCTTTCGACTTTGATCCTTCCAAAGATGGGCAGAAGGGCACTGGAGTCAATGCTGACAATTTGGAAACCAAACTTGAGCATTTTCGTCATCTGGGTGAAAAGGAACAAAATGACCTGTTTTCCAATATGTCGATGGAAAATTGGGAAACCTCGGGAGAATGGTTTGTCAACAAGTTCAACGTACTCATGCAAAAGTTGCTGGATTCGAGAAGACAGAAGCGCAAAATCATTCAGGAGTTTGAACAAGAAGCAGCCAATCGTGAAGAAGCTGTCCGTCTCAAGACACAGGCCATTGACCGAAAGCTCTCTAAGATGAAGCAGGACGGCCAGCGAGTGGTGGAGGATAAGACTGCATAGATTATGCGTGGCGTATGGACAGAGTCGTTGGTTTTTTTTATTTTTCCTGAAATGAGTTTACGACCGATATGATTGCATTATGCTGGAGTTGAGGCTGGTTTACTCGATATCGGGGCGTGAGATATCCGGGCGGTTCGCGAGGCACCTGGAGCAGAAATGAGCTCACTTACACCGGAATTGTTTATAGATAGATTCGCTACGATGGTCACATCTTTGATGAGGTAATATGTAAATTCGCTGAAAACGGTTCAGGGCCGTGAATGGTTCATTAGTCTGTCGTGAGGGTTTGTTGTGTTTGGTTTGTTCGGGTGTGAGTGGAGGTGAGATGAGTTGTGTGCCCCCTTTTTTATACTCGTCGGACATGTTTTACTTTTCTGTCGCGGCCTACCACCATCCTCAATTGTCGGCCCGGTCGGTTGGCGAGAACTCCTTTTCTCATTCTATCAGTATAGAGCTCATAAGCAGGATAGTAGCCGTCGACGAATTTGACCACTTCGACGGAGGTCATCCCCGCATCTGGGTCACCCCTTTCCTCACGCAAGTGATCTTCTTGCTCTAGTCGCCAACCGTAGACGTAGCCAAGATCCTCTGCATCGATTTGAATGAAGGCGTCGAAGGAATCTGTGAGGGAATCATACTCGGAGAGCTTCTCATTTACGAATAGAAGGTCCTCAAGTTTGTGTTGTTTGAGAGTTCGATTGGGCATGTTGAGTCTCGCCTCAACGGCCTCACGAGTCAGAGGACGGAAGCCTACACACCATCCCTCGAGAATGATGGCCTGGATCTTGTCCTGGCCTGGCTGATTCACAGGAAGCCATTCAGATTCTGGGAGGCGATCACCTTTACCACCCTTAATGGCCTTGTCGTATTTTGGTAGTTTTGTAGGCTCTCCTCTTAGTAATGCCTCGAAGAAGGCTTTGAGAAGAGGCAAGTCATGAGTTCCTGTACCTATTAGAACCCGCCTAGTTAACAAACAGGGTGACTTTACTTACCGGGCTCCCCACGATGCTGAACAAGGGCATTGTCAGGGTGAGCTTCAGCGAGTGCAACCTGATCCTGCCGAGTGAGATAGAACTCGTCTATGCTACAGACAAGGGTTGTCACATTCTGGCTCTCAAGAGCCTTGCTCAGCGCCTTGACAAGGGTAGACTTGCCGGCGCCCTGAATGCCGTTGAGGCCGATGACAAAGGGGTGGTCGGGAGACTCTTCGCGGTGGAGTTTGAGCTGAGAGAGAATGAAGGGGAGGCAAATCTCAGTTTTGTCGTCGATGAAGTGGGGAGCCATGATTTAATCAAGATACGGATAAGTTACTGCGCATATACAGGGCATGGGAGTGAGAACGATAGTACGGTATGGGTATTGGTAGCGCAGCCATAGGATGATTGAGTGTTGGGTGTTACTGTCAGTCAATTGCTTTCTTTTTTTTCGTCGGGCAATTCAAGCCCGAGGAGACACGAGACACTAGAGACACACACACAATGACTGACCTTTTCGGGCTGATCAAATCAGCATCAAGCTTGTGGCCCGGTCTGGGCTTGGTTGATTTTGCGGGGAGGGAATAGAGAGAATTTGTGGGGATATGTCCGTAGCCGGAGCCGGGATTGGAGGTCGGCAACAGAATTGTTAGAGAATGCGACTGAAGGGAAACGGCAACAATGCAATTAATGGTAAAGTGCAGTTCAATTTCAGATATAAGCTAGTTTCGTGAGCTTGCTTCCTCTGTCTAATGAAGAAGAAGAAAAACCAGAGTTTAAAGACATTGTGTGTTGTTCTATGTAAATGAAATGCTGTCTTCACCTCGAACTATCCCACATGTAAGATTCGAGATGTCACTCGACAGTACAATCTGACAAGACTTTGAATATTACCCCAGATATTATTATACTATTCTCTTACACTGATTCAGTAAAGGCATGTGACATTAACTACTATAGGGTATTTCCTCCGCATGACCTCATCTGCCGCATCTCAGCTTTACATGTGAAGCCAGACCCTTTCCTGACTCGGCCTAGTGTATTCCCCGCAACCAGTCCCCTCGGTACCCCATAGAAGCCGAGGCTTCCCCTTCACAAGGTTCCTTGGTATCCCCGAGACGGTTTGAGTTGCAAGCCGGCCCAAGCTTGTTAAGAGCTGCTCGTTGCGCTCCCCAATTATTTCGCTTTACAGTTCTTCATCCTCATCCTCATCCTCATCCTCTCACTCTCTGTCTTTTTTCCATCATCTTGAGCGTGTCATATTATACCCCCTTACATATTTGAATAACACATCACACATTCACACCATGGCAGACCAGTTGAGATACGACGGCCAAGTTGTTGTCGTCACTGGTGCTGGCGGTGGCCTCGGAAAGGCATATGCTACTTTCTTCGGCTCCCGTGGTGCCAGCGTCGTCGTCAACGATCTTGGTGTTACTTCCAAGGGTGAGGGCAACTCATCAAAGGTTCGTAGACAAGCAAGAGCAAACAGCTTCCCCGGGCGCAAAGCGCATAAAGCTAACCCCAATCGCGATAGGCCGCCGATGTTGTCGTCAACGAGATCAAGGCCGCCGGTGGCAAGGCTGTTGCCAATTACGATTCAGTAGAGAACGGCGAGCGCATCATCGAGACCGCCATCAGCGCTTTCGGCCGAATCGACATCCTCATCAACAACGCTGGTATCCTACGCGATGTTAGCTTCAAGAACATGAAGGATGAGGATTGGGATCTTATCTACAAGGTACACATTAAGGGCTCATACAAGTGCGCCCGCGCTGCTTGGCCTCATTTCCGCAAGCAAAAATATGGCCGTGTTATCAACACCGCCTCGGCTGCTGGCCTCTTTGGCAACTTCGGCCAGACCAACTATTCCGCCGCCAAGCTCGCCATGGTTGGTTTCACAGAGACTCTCGCCAAGGAGGGTATCAAGTATGGCATTCTCGCCAATGTCATTGCCCCCGTCGGTATGTAACAATCGCGCCTCATGAGCTTCATACACTAATCCCAAATAGCGGCTAGCCGAATGACCGAGACCATCATGCCTCCTGATGTGCTCGCCAACCTCAAGCCTGAATGGGTTGTGCCTCTCGTTGCTGTTTTGGTCCACAAGAACAACACAGAGGAGACTGGTGGTATCTTTGAGGTTGGCGGCGGCCACGTGGCCAAGCTCCGATGGGAGCGATCTAGCGGTCTCCTCCTCAAGGCTGACGACTCATATACTCCCGGTGCCATTATTAAGAACTGGAACAAGGTTGTCGACTACTCCAACCCTCAGTACCCTACGGGACCCAACGATTTCCTCACATTGCTTGAGGAGTCTATGAAGATGGGACCTTCAGAGCAGGGTGAGAAGCTCGACTTCGCTGGCCGTGTCGCTCTCGTCACTGGTGGTGGTGCTGGTATTGGTCGTGTTTACGCTCTGGCCTTTGCCAAGCACGGCGCTTCAGTTGTGGTCAACGATCTTGCTGATCCTGAGCCCGTGGTTGCTGAGATCAAGAAGCTCGGCGGCAAGGCCGTTGGTGTGAAGGCCTCAGCTGAGGACGGCGAGAAGGTTGTCAAGGCTGCTATTGACGCCTTTGGCCGTATTGATATCGTCATCAACAACGCCGGCATCCTCCGCGACAAGGCTTTCTCCAACATGAACGATGAGCTCTGGGACCCTGTCCTGAACGTGCATCTCCGAGGCACCTATAAGGTCACCAAGGCTGCTTGGCCTTACTTCCTCAAGCAGAAGTACGGACGTGTCCTGAACACTACTTCAACCAGTGGTATCTATGGCAACTTTGGCCAGGCCAACTACGCTGCTGCTGTAAGTTCTCAATATGCCGCTCATTATGATAATTGCTGACGATCACAGAAATGTGGTATCCTTGGTTTCTCTCGAGCTCTTGCCCTTGAGGGCCAGAAGTACGGCATCTACGTTAACACTATCGCCCCCAATGCCGGCACTGCTATGACTGCCACCATCATGCCCGAGGAGATGGTCCAGGCTTTCAAGCCTGACTACATTGCTCCCCTTGTCCTCGCTCTCTGCAGTGACAAGTGCCCCACCCCTACTGGTGGTTTGTACGAGGTTGGCAGCGGCTGGTGTGGCCAGACTCGATGGCAACGAACCGGTGGCCATGGCTTCCCCGTTGATGTCACTCTCACCCCTGAGGAGGTTGTTAAGAACTGGAAGGACATTGTCACCTTTGACGGCCGTGCCGACCACCCCTCCAAGTCCCAGGACTCGATCGGTAAGATTATGGCCAACTTGGAGAACCGCTCTAAGCCTAAGGAGTCATCTGGCGAGACCAACTACCTCAAGGTTATCGAGGAGACTCTCAAGAAGGAGGGCAAGCCTACTGAGTACAAGTACGAGGAGCGCGATGTCATCCTCTACAACCTTGGTGTCGGTGCCAAGCGCACTGATCTCAAGTACGTCTTCGAGGGCTCAGATGACTTCCAGGTTCTTCCTACCTTTGGTGTCATCCCTCCTTTCAACGCGGAGATGCCATTCGAGTTTGACAACATTGTGCCCAACTTTTCTCCTATGATGCTGCTCCACGGTGAGCAATATCTTGAGATCCGCAAGTTCCCCATCCCTACCAGTGCTCGCCTTGTTACCCGAGGTCGTCTCCTCGAGGTCATCGACAAGGGTAATGCCTCTATCGCCCGAAGCTCCACCACTACCGTTGACGCCAACACTGGTGAGGACGTTTTCTACAACGAGTCCAGCGTCTTCCTCCGTGGCGCTGGTGGTTTCGGCGGTCCTAAGCGCGGTGCTGATCGTGGTGCTTCCACTGCTGCCAACAAGCCTCCTGCTCGTGCCCCCGATGTTGTCGTTGAGTCACCTACCCACGATGACCAGGCTGCCATCTACCGCTTGAGCGGTGACTACAAGTAAGATTTCCTACTACCCATAACTTGAATCATGACTAACATGAGTAGCCCTCTTCACATCGACCCTGCCTTCGCCAAGGTCGGTGGCTTCAAGGCCCCTATTCTTCACGGTCTCTGCTCCTTCGGCATCGCTGGAAAGGCCGTCTACGAGCGCTTCGGTGCCTTCAAGAACATTAAAGTCCGTTTTGCTGGTGTTGTCATTCCTGGTCAGACTCTTGTCACGGAAATGTGGCGAGAAGGCAACAAGATCATCTTCCAGACCAAGGTTAAGGAAACTGGCAAGCCTGCCATCGCTGGAGCGGCTGCTGAGCTCAGAACCGACGGCAAGAGCAAGCTCTAAACAAAAATTCAGCACGGTCAACGGAGTTTTTACAATGGGATATGCATGTACCATCATAAAGTTTGTATTGTAGTTGAGTGATGTGATTCTTATCATGTCCTGTTTTGCCCAATCTTATATGCCAATTTCAATACCAATTTCTTAAATTTATAACCCATAAGACGCCCCGTGCCCATTCCGATAGTTATATTTGTGGAAATCCGTTAAGCCTGCGCCTGAAGTCACAATGAGGCTTCTTTGACCCATCTTGTTGTACGCCATTACTCGAAAAAAAGTCCATATCCCTAAACAAAAATCGTTTCGACGACGAGATCCAACACTTCCGAAAGAGCGGGAATTCGCCCACTGAAGAGAACACGCTCAACGCTCACGTCCATCCTGTTCGCCGCAACGCCTGTTTCAAGGAACGCCCGCTCTGTGCCCGATAATTCCCGGTTCTCCATGTCTTTCCACTTACGCTCAGCCTCTTCGCGTGCAGCTTGCAAAACCTTTTCCGTATCCTCGGATTCCCAGAGATTGCACCTGTCACACTCCTTGCAGGGCGTTGCATCACCTTCCGGGCGGAAGTGGTCGCAAAAGTGGCGATATCCTTCGTCAGTGAGGTCGGCGCGACAAACATAGCACATCTTGTAGCCGCAGGGACAAGTGAGCTTATTGCAGCCTGCATTCTTGACGAAAGATGTGTTGCAGCGGGGACAGACGCGCTTTATAGCCATGCTCATGGCCTGCTCGACCTGTGTGCGGAGGGCGACGAGCGAGGATTCGTTGCATACGTGGATATCCTTCCAAGACTTATGGCATGAGAGGCACGACATGCGGCCGCAGCTGGGGCTTTGGCAGGTGAATTTGGTACCGCGACGACGACGACGGTGACGGTTGAGAGCTTTGGACCATTCCACTGAGATGTAGTCGCCAAATGACTGCTGTGTGCTGAGGAGAAGGCATATGAAGGAGGATATGAGGACGAAGGGGAAGACGAATGGGAGGGTGCCGATACAGAGAACGAGGAAAAAGAGGTTGTAAATACTATCCGACTTGATACGAAGAGCAGATTCGTGCGCTGGCGTGTATATGTCGTCTATCTCGGCATAGTCACAGAAGGGACACCGTACTAGGGGGAGATTGGATGCCAGAAGGCTATGCTCTGCTAGTCGACGGTCAAGCTTGTGCAGAATTTCTGCTCCCATTTTTTCTTCCTCCATGGCACGGCGAATATGATCTGGTGGGATATGTCCAGGACATCCATCGCCATCTGAAGAGAGGCACTTGAGCGTTCCCGTTTCAGGGTTGATGCTGCTTTGCCAACCTTGCCCAAAGACGGCTTCTTTGATAGAGTGCTGTACACATCGGTAGCAGACGAGATGACCCTCACGATTGCAGTGGGTAAACTCCTCAAAGGCGGCTGATATGAAGCAGCAGACACACTCGTGGGTTGCATCTGCCTTTTCTGCCTCCTCGTTGTTGAGTATGACAGCAAGACCTCTGTCTCTGTCCTCCCTGTCCCTTCTGTCCTTCTCTTTCAACGGTACCACCAAAGTATCGTACAGTTCACGGTCCAGTTCTGCACTACCTGTGGCCCGAATAGTGGGAGTAATCGAGCCCTGACCGGTTGAGCGCCATGACACCAGCGGGTGATTCTCTGCCTCGCCCGTAGCGATAGGTTTCCTTCTGAAAAACAACGATGATATCGTGAAACGCCATGATTTGGAGGATAAAGTAACGAGGGTCTGGCGGGCTTCGAGGTAGGAATAGTTAGACTCGGCAAGAACAGCGTTTATGGTAGACCGCGATAAGCCTTTGAACTCATGCCATGCTAGATTTTGCACGGCTCTTTTGTACTCCTTGCTCTTGAACACCTCTGTCTTTGGTATCGCATCCGGTTGAGCGGTGTCTTTGTCCGGAACTCTCCACCGACCCTTGACCCACGTCACTCTATTCTTGAGCAGCGCATCAGCCACAAGAGCAAGCCTTGAGTCGCCGTCGAAATTCGACAAAAGCTCGCGAAACACTTCGATCTGGATATCGGGAAACACGGCGGCCAGGGCCTCGAGGCTGTTGTTGAGTTCGCGCAGGTCAGGCCTATCGGGTGGCAGACATGGTAGTTGGGCTTCGTCGTAGATGTACTCGGGTTGAAGAAGGTTGGAGTCGCTCGACTTGGACCGGACAGAGGGTGTTCTGGTTCTATCGGTGGAGGTGGAGGTGGAGGTGAGCAGCCCGGGGAAAACCATCGTGACTGCTCATTCTGGTGCGTGTGCGCGTGAGGTTTCGTTGATGGAAGTGATAAATGGCGGTGGTAATGGTTGACGGAGGATTAGGTAAGGTGCTTGAGGCGTTGAGCTGAGGAATGAGGCTTGCGGTGGTTGGTTGGGGTGCAGAGCTGAATATTTTTCACCGAGAAAAACCAGTGGGAATAGTCAGAGTTATTGAAATGCAACATGTTATCCATTCGGCTGTTATCATGCTGTCTAAGTTTCATGGCTGAAGGCGGTAAGTTAGGATAGAGTTGTGACACGTTGCTGAAACAGAGACACGAATGATAATCGATTAACCAAGTTTACTGTAACCGTACAAATATTTTAGGTTCGTTTTCAGGACTTAATTTCATTAGCTGTTAACTTATTGCTTCATACAAGAGGAATCAGAGTGTTATTTGACTCATTGCGTACACTGGACCCTGAATTCTTTGTACTGAGGTATGAAGCGTTCGGTTTAATTGAAGCAGCACAATCAGAAAACCCAAAGACACCAACGAGAACAAGCATGCATCATTATTTATTTGCCGCATATCAGACGAATTTGACAATTTATACCATACTCGTCATAAGGAATATAAATTGTTTGAACGTGAATTGACAACAGAACCACCTCTGAAGATGAAGATGATAGGTACGGTGCCTCATTAACCGACAATTTTTCGACTACCAAGCTTCTACGAGTTTCATGTCGTGACACCTTAGAATTAATACTTACCAATATATTAAACTTAGATAGTTAGAGGGTAGATATGAATAGCAAGTAAAACAATGCATCTTAGCATTACGAATGAATTAAGAGTAACAGAAGTCATAAAATATACCTACCTGAATAAGGTAAGTAAGTAGGTAGTGAAGATGTATTCTTGGCTCTCCTTCTTAGACTTGTCAATATCCTCATGATGGCTGAATGTCATCCTACTCCATTAGCATGAGCATGAGACAGACGGCCTCAGATGCTGCCCCAAAGGCATGGCAAGACCATCATCATTTTCCCATCTCGGATATCAAATCTTCATATTCGGTAATTGCTGGACTTAAAAGCTGCCGGTCCCCTCTCGCTCAGACTCCTGCCCGCCATGCACTAATGGATATTTAGAACTTCTTTATTGACACTCTTGGACAATTTGACTCCTTCACATACGGCACAAGGAGGGGAGAAGAAAGGCGCCTGACATTTATTTACTCATGCTGAGGCTGGTACAGTATATGCTAGTAGACCAGCCAAAGCTCGATCTCTTCTTGTATTGAATGAACGGGAGTCTACAACCTTATCTGAGAACACAAGACAGGCACGCATGTACAGCGCCCCATAGACGGCTCAGAAAGGCAGGAGAAACACGGATATGCTATGTACGCAAATCGTCCAAGTGATCCGCCGTTGACGCACCCCACGCTTTGGTTGGTAACATTGATGGAGAAGATCACCACACCAGATCGACAACCCCGCAATGTTAACTCGTCTTGAAACTATCATGACGACAAAACCAGGTAGCTGTTCCTCGCTCACCTCCGTTATCAGACTCAGAAGGAGCTCGCACGAGAAAACCATGACAATGGGAGGTCAGATAGCTCGTGTGTCAAGCCCAGAAACTGACTCGTCAAATCAGGATATTTGCTGCGTAAAATCTACCACAATATCACTGAGCAATATGAAGGTGGCAGCGTGGGCGGCCATCATTATCATCTCGAAACCGCCAACTCAAAATTAAGATTGCAGAATGCCTGTTTCACGTCACTCGGCTGCACAATAAGCACCGTTCATCTGCGCAGTCGTCCACCATATCTGCAGCAGTGCAGCCTTTCCAACCCCCCCCCTCTTCAATCTTCAGTATGCACCATACGACATGCTTGATGCAGGCACGGGGGTTTGTGACCAAAGTCCCATCATGAAGTCAATGACCGGCCCGAGGCTTCGCAAGCGGTGAGATGAAGTTGACAACATCAAAAGTTAGCGCGCCGCCAAGGTATTAGACCTTGTGCGGCTAATCGAGCACTTCGCGCTTAGAAGGCTGGATGAGTCTAGCAACGAGTTTAGAATAAGTCCGTTGATTTGATAGCTTGGATGACGTTAGGCCCTGTATTCTAATATAATCAATCAATCACATGCTGAAGACAATGGCAACTGACTTTGGAGGAGTGAAGGAGCAACATAACATCTTCCAGATATCTCGACATGAGACTGAACTCATGACGAGGGCTATAGATCTTTGTCAGATCCGCAGCCAGTCGTTCCTTGCAAATGCAGGCATTGCAGGTCCATTTCTCGTTGAGGATCTCGCTCCTTGTCAGCCGCTAGCTCTGTATTGCCTACATCAAGCCTGCTAGACCACTTGTCAAGGACTCAAGCCTCTTGGACATCAAAGCTTCCACCCGAAATAGTCGCAGCGATATGTGTATTACAGTGTTGAGATTGTGCGAGACTACGTACACGGAGTCCTAACGACAGCGCCAAGTCCGAGCCCTGACATGGGTTTTCAGGGATGACGACGATCTTCTCCCGTCATCGTTGGCTATGCTCAAGCAAGCGAAGTGAGTGAGAAAAAGGGGTCTCTCGGCGATGAGCTCGGCACAAGCCAACAGTCGGCCAGCTCCACTCCCTGGAGGAGGAAGCACGCGACTTTGTGCAGGATAAAGCCCATCGTGCATAAACTGCTGTGGAGGAAAAAGCAAAACCCCCCATGATATGATGATGTGAGCTTTGCATTGGCTCCAAAAAAAAGTTGGCATGTGCTATGAAGCGCAGTGCTCCAATGCTGTATGTGCATACATGGGGTGTTTGGTGTTACATTGAATAGCTAGTGGACAAAGCCTATCGACTGATGATCACTGATCCGAGACGACCAAAAACGCTCGCTCGTGGCGTCTGTCTCGGACGAATGATGTTGTTGAAGCGACAATAAACCGAGGGTATATTTTTTGGCTCTCAGATCTACTATGGGGCACTGCCGCAATTCGCGATATTCTAAGTGGAGCTGAAAAGGCAGCATAGTTCAACCAACAAGCTGGATTAGGGCTACAAGAGGCTCAAAAGCCGGCCTGAGAACTGCCGCCGTGAGGATACAGTACCCAAGATGAAGGCCAGCCTTTGGCTTGTGTTTCATATCACACGGTGCCTCACGGTAGGGCGCTTGCATGTGCAGCCAGAAGTGCTCATGAGACCTCGATTCCGGGGCACTATTTACGAGTTTAACCAGAGGGTGTGATGGCCTTGACGATCTTTGTTGTTGCAAAGGTCTTTATTTCCCTCATGGCGGGTTTGATTGCTCGATGAAGCACTTGGCAGCGCTTCTCATCTCCAGGGAAGCGGCGTTTTCAGAGTGTGGTTTCGTCATTCATTATATTCGACTGGGAGATCGATCGAGGACGATACACACTGTTGACGTATGAAGTGTTTCTCCTGACTAGTCAGGAACCGAAACCCGAACATCGATGCCCATAGCGCCGCAGTTGTGCGTGCTATTAAGGGTTGACCATCGTATTGCTCCTGATAATCGCCCGTACAGTTGATTTACTGTAGATCCCACATTGCACCATTTCCCTGATTTGGTTGTCGGCCACGCGACAAGGACTCTGCTTGCCTGAGCATTACAGAATTCTTACGGACTGTCAAGTGCCGTTGGGCGTCATCAGAAGTTGCCCAAGTCAGCACGGTCAGCCACCTCATCTTGGACAGAGCACAGCATTCACGGCAGTCAGGCTGAACCAACGATCCGTCATCTGTGACAGCTTGCTGTGGCTTTCAGCTGAGGTGGATTATCTTGCATTTCATAAGCTGCCAAAGTTCTATTCAGGGGGGCTGTGAGGACGGAAACGCCTTGGCTGAGTTTAATTTCTCACCATAAGCTTCGGGAAATTGATCAGTTCGAAGTCTAGATCCGCCATTTGAGTATCATTATTCAACTTGGACAAATGCTGTTTACCTGTTGCAGGCTAATAGCAATAAAATAATTCAGTGTTGTAGCCGCACCCATGTCCACTTCTGCTCTTGTTGCATCGTTCTCGTCGCCGCCACTATTTCCATGCTCCACTTTCCGCCACCCACCCCGGCTAGCTTAGGGAGCAAGAAAACTTCAGACCTGAACAAAGGGTGCCAAAATAAACCCATCAAAGAGCCCCTAAGTTTATGATAATTTACCTAAATCTTTTTTATCACTTAGGATCGAAGTCCTAAGTTTTCTTGCCTCCCCTAGCCCGGGACTCCAAAGTTGTCCTTAAACAACTTTTGTGTACCAAAAATATACGCCAATACGATGTGCAACAGAACAGGTACGGCCGGCCCCGACAAACATGAACCAAGCCAAGAAAAAACACTGGACATCCAAATCACAGAAAACGAGGGATCTACGGACAGCAGTTACAGTCTATCACACGGTGCCTGATTTTGAAGTTACCTAAAAAAAAACGCCACAGCCCGTATCTTTTCAGCCGCTTCAAGATGAAGATCAAGCTCAAGCTCAGAGCAATGTGAGCAAAGTAAACGCCAACTCTCTTGGGCCTTGGTCTCTGGTCTCAGTCACTGCCAGGGACAAAGCAACACCAGGACAGGGTCCGGTGTTTGTCTGCAATAATAAAGCCGTACAGTAACTTAGCCAAGCTTAGCTCAGGTGCCTAGGTTCCCCCTGGGCCCCCCTGTCCTGGCGCTGGACATCCACCACACCTAACCAGCCGCCTCCTCCACCGCTACAACTGGAGAGTCTGGTTTAGCATACTGCTCAGCCTTACTTAGTCGCGGTGAATGGGTCCCTTTTCCCTTGTCTTGGGCCTTGGTCAATATTTACTGGAGGTACTCCGTACTGTATGTATTTGGCTCAGCTTTGGGATATATAACTTTAGTCCTCCCCCCCTCCCATCGACTGTTCTCTTCCTGCATTACCTACTGGTGCATCTTGAACTTTGTCTGCAGGCGTGGCTGTTCGTGTGTGTGCTCGCGTGATTACCACTCTCTTATATATTTAAGGGTATTTCGTAGACAGACGGACTTGTTGATTCGTCTTCCCACGCTCGCATACACCTACGTGTACACGTACACGCCAAATCATGAGAGGAGGCTTTTGGAACTGCTTAGAACTGAGGATTGGACGACGAAACATTGCATCTTGCTGCCCATAAACGAAACGATGAACCGAGATATGAAGCTGGATGTTGAATCCGTCATGGCCGACCAAGACAAGAACAGCCGCTATGAAGGCTACTTTGCCTATCGACCTCTATCCAACCTACCTACACCGCCCCCAAGCTCTCGCAACTCATCCGCGGCTCAATCACCACGAACTACACTTGACGATGGAGAGCCATTGATGCCTCGATTCCGAGGTAAGTGTTATCTCTAGCACGGCTGGCAGAGGATCAAGCAGTGTTGATGTGTAACATCACATTGTTTGCATCTCCTGTCATGTCACGCAGCGTACCAAGCTTGTTTTACTAACGGACTATAGGCCCCGCCATCCACCTTGTCAACCTCATCCCATCATCTGCCTCTCTGGCCACGGCCTCAGTCCCTCTTGTTCAGGCCATCCTGAGCCGCGCCAATCTCCCGATCGAGACCGTTGCTCTCGCAGTATGCATTCTCGACAGCCTCGATTCCCGTTTCGCCCGACGATGGCGCCTCTCGTGCCCCCTGCTGTCCGGCTACTTCTCCTCCACGTCTAAGCGACACACTCTCCCGCCGACGCCCATCATGCCTCAACGACAGCAGTTACACATCGACTCAGTCAACCCTGAGCTCATCATTATGGCAGCTCTTGTCATTGCTGTTAAGTTCATGGAGGATCCTCAGGAGGCTTCTCAGTACTATTGCAAAGCCTGGGGTCGTGGCATGTGGTCACCCGAGCAGCTCAACACCACCGAACGATGCATCATGGAGAACCTCAACTACCGCATTATGCCCCTTTGCGATGAAGACTGTTTGACGGATGCTATGGTGGATATGCAATATGCCGCTCAGCAGCCCGAATGGGACCTCAACGAGCACATGCCCGCGGATAGTGATGACGAGAGTGACGACAGCAACAACCACAACAACTATGTGCCTAGCCACTCCAGATCAAAGACACTCGGCACAGGATCCGCAGTATTAGGATTAGGCCTTTCTCTAACACCAGTCGATACCCCGACTGCCGAGGCCAGCCACTCGACTACCCCGCAACCGTCAAGGCTCTGCAATGACTACTTCAACCATTTCCAGGCACGAGAGGATTAAAAAGGAAAAACGGCGTTCTTTTTTTCACTTTGGGCATTACGAGGCGTTACCGTGGATACCAACACATTTAGCGACTTTTTATGGATTGTTTTGACAGCGACCCGACTCGATCCGGCGTGATAGGCATCTTGTTATGTGTTGTTTTGGGAATCAGACCCCTTTTATAACGCTCCTGATTGGACGACAGGGCGGGAAATAGCATTGTTCTATATACGGAGGCATTCGGAGTGAACATTGAGTTCCTATAATCGAGGAACAAGTTTATTGGGATTGATTTGGTTTGGTTAGCTGTGTCTGCTATATGGCATCATAGGTTGAAGCATGGATATGGCATCTGATCTGAAGCTAGGATTACACATACCCCTTTCCGTATATTCTAGTCAATAACTACGTACTTTTAATGTTCTATAAATGGCTCCCGGTCCCATACAAGTCACTCCGGCCCTTGGCATAACAAATCAGGCGATATCATGCCAGCATTTTCAGGGGGGATCCACCTTGTTGACGTTGATGTCTTATTCAGGATTCACCGCATGTAAAAACTCGTGATGTAGTTTTTATAAGTCAGTATATTATGCTTGGATACGGCAATTGATGCCGGCTTGTTATCTTGATAGTATGTATTGAAGATATGTGGTGTTACTTACTGTATCGAACGAGAGTTGCAGATAGAGAGTTGTAACATAACTCACCGCATGCTACTCAAACACCCCTTGTCTGTTGACCATTATCTTAGCGAGGAGCTCATTCATCATTTCGCTTCTATATCTGGCTTCATGCTGAGCATGATTGAGCATCTGTAGTACATCAAATACATCTCCCTAAGGACTCAGCCTCTTTATTGTCCACTCCTGCTCCTCGCCCTCCCGTTCATAAACGAACCTGTCGTGAAGTCTACTCTCCCTTCCCTGCCAGAACTCGATTCTGTCCGGGATAATCCTCAAACCGCCCCAGAAATCAGGAACAGGAATTTTCTCCTGCCCCTCAAACCGCTTCTCAACCTCTTTAACCCATCCCTCCAGCTGCTTGCGGCCATCGTCGTCTTCACCTTGTGGCTCAAGTACTTGACTCTGTCGACTAGCCCATGCACCGATTCTGCTTCCCCGAGCTCGCGTGTCATAGTATGTCTGGCTTTCTTCCCGGGAGATCTTCTCCACCCGTCCTTCAACATGGACTTGGCGCTGTAGAGATTCCCAGAAGAACAGCATCGCAGCGCGGGGATTGGTCGCTATATCGGCTGCCTTGCGAGATGTGTCCAGGTTAGTGTAGATGACGAAGCCGCGGTTGTCGAGCTCCTTTAGATACACAGTACGAGATGAGATACGACCTGAGGGGAGAGATGCTGTTGAGAGAGTGCATGATTCAGGATGATCTACGCCAGAGTCATTCTCCTGAGCACGGGAGAACCATGCGTGGAATTGAGGGATAGGTGATGTTGGGTTGAGCTGTGAGCGGACAAGAGTCCCTTTTGTAAATTGCTCTGCTTGACCTGTTGCCTGATGGCCCGCCGGGGCGACTATGAGTTGTTAGTAAACTGTTCCATGACAAATGGTGCTGTGAAGAGAAGAGTCGTGATGGCAAGACTGGCGGGGTAACGTTGAACATACAGATCAGCTTCGAAGTATCTGCTGAATGAAGCGCCATTTTTGCAGTAGGGAACAACCTAGAGCTGGAGTTAGATATTAGTAGACGCATTGATTTATATATATCAGTCTACTGTGGGAAATCATGCGATTTGACTCACTGAACGAACTTTGAGGCATACGATGGATGGGATGTTCAAGAAGGAAAAAGGTACGTACTGCGCTATCGGTGGGTGGTGGAGTTATGACATCTTCGAAGTGAAATTTCCATTTGTTGACTTTACTCCAGGAATAGCTGTACATTGGGATTTCAGGAAAGTATACTATTATAGCACAATACAAACCAACATCAAGATTTGAGAGTTACACCATCGAGGGCTTCTCGGAGGAACTTATAAGTTCCAGTCTCATGATATTCACGCCACGAACAGCAGGAGAAAACAGACACACATACAAAACACACGGAACGCACGGGTGAAATAATAAATAGGTATTCAATTAAATAAACGTATACGACGATACGTATACATACATGATACATAACATACATAAAACCGTACGCCGACGACGTGAGTCGCGTGTCATTTACACAATCTATAACATCAAATGTCGTTCACGGGCATCATCCTGGAATGCTTGCTAACGCACGCCAATTTCTATCCGGCTTTGAAAAAAGCAAAAATTACAAATATCCAATCATGTCATGAAACTTTTCAAATCCTTTCCGACTCATATATAAGTTTACGAATCAGCCATAACCAACGCCAACAGAGCCATGCGGCAGTAGAGGCCATAGCGCATCTAAACACCATGTTAGCAATTATGGTCAACATCTCGTAGAAATCAATGCTTACCTGTCGGAAGTATGCAGCTCGCTGGTCGAAGTCGACCTCCTCGGCAACCTCCTCGTTGCGGGGGAGAGGGTGCATAACGATCGAAGAGCTCTTAGCATGCTTAAGCGAAGCGTTGTCCACTCGGTAAGAGTTCTTAACGCGCTGGTACTCCTCCTCGGTAGGGAAGCGCTCCCGCTGCACACGTGTGCAGTACAGGACGTCACTGCGAGCCAGGATCTCAGGGGTGAGAGTCTCAGACTCGCAGAGAAGCTGGCCAGAGGCAACGAGCTGCTCTCGGACCTTAGGTGGAAGAGCCAGAGCCTTAGGGGCAACGAGCTGGACCTGAACGTGGTAGTGTCGGAGTAGGTACACAAGGGAGTGCACAGGTCGGCCGTAGAGAAGATCACCCAGGAAGGTGATGGTCAAGCCCTGAACAGTACCCAACTCCTCACGGATGGTGAAGAGATCAAGGAAAGCCTGCGTGGGGTGCTCCTTGCTGCCGTTGCCACCGTTGATGACAGGGACAGGGCTGTATTTCTCAGCAACATGAACGCTGCTCTCCTCAGGGTGACGGAGGACGACAGCATCACCATAGCAAGCCAGAGTACGGAGGGTATCCTGGAGAGTCTCGCCCTTCTGGACAGAAGAGTGAGAGGTGGAGATGGCGATGGTGCGTCCACCAAGACGCTGCATAGCAGCATCGAACGAAGCCGAGGTGCGAGTAGAGGGCTCGTAGAAGAGCGTCGTCAAGACGCGACCTCGAAGGATGTTCAAGACACCTTCGCGCTGGACACCAAGACGCATCTCCTGAGCAACAGTGAAGAGCAGGTGGAGATCAGCTCGGCTGTAAGACTTGACGGACAGAACGTGGGTGTTCTTGAACGACGAAGGCTGAGCCAGGAGCTGCTGGAGGGAAGAGCTGACCAGAGGCTGGAGCTGGAGGCCAGGGGCGAGCTCCTCAACAGGAGCAGCACCACGAGCAGGCGAAGGCAGAGTAGCGCCAACAGCACCAGTATCGACACCGCGGAGACGGTTCAGAGGCTGGAAACCACCCAGCATGGACATGCGACGGGCTTGAGGAGAGTCGGTGGCTTGAGCGATTGAGGTGGTGGGCTTGACGGGAGGCGACATGGGAGGAGCGATGTGCGAAGACATGTCCTTGCCCTGAGGCGAGACAGGCAGGACCTCACCATCAAGGCAGACTGTGGTGTTCTGGAAAGTGACTCGTTGAACAGATCCACGCATAGTGCGGCCTACGAAAGGAGACCAGAAGGTACCGGGAGCCACGGTGTAGGGACGGTCAATCTCAGCCTCGATGGTGGTACCAGACTGATCGTGGAGCTCGAAGATCTCCATAGGGTTGGTGTAAAGACGATCCTTGATGTCGTCAACAGTTAAACGACCCTCAGCAACTGAAGTGAGCAGCAGAGGGAGAGCATCAGAGATACCCATGTGAGGATCGCCCTTGTGGCCGAGCGAAGTGGCCAGGCGGTAAGGCAGACTACCAATGGAGAACACATCAATGGTCGACATGTGCTGCCAGAGTGCCTTCTGATCAGCAGCGGTAGGCAGACGCTCGCACTCAGGGTACTCGTCACGGTTGAGATATAGGGAGTAGATCGAGACGTCGCAGGTGACTTGGAGTCCCTTAGCCTTGCTAAGGGCAATAAGCTTGATATCGTCCTTGTTGGTGACTGAAGTAACGTGGATGCGACGGTTGTGGAGGCTGGCAAGGAGGAGAATCGAGGCCAAGTCAGTCAGCTTAGCATCAGTGACGATAGGCTTGTGTGTGGGCCAAGAATCGAAGTGAGCAGTGACAGCAGCAACCTTGCTGATGTTGCCAGAGAGGTGGTTAAAGGGGATGAAGAGCGACCCAACCTCGCCTGTAACGTGGCTGATCTGATCAGCATTGTCGGAGGTAGCAGCTACAGAGAAGTTGTAATCGCAGTAGCCACCCCGTCGGCTGCTCTGCTGAGCAGTCTTCAAAGTGAGGGCATCGGTGATGGCACCATCAACACCCAAAGGCATAACTCGAATCATGCTGAAACCAGCAGAGATAGAGGCCTTGGTCACTGTTTGAAGGTCGTCATTGTTGGCAGTAGCAATGCCAGGAACGAACGCAGCGATGTTGATCAGACCGGGTAGCACAATGGTTCGGTGGCTGGTCTGGTAATCGCGCTTAGAGACCTCAAGCTCGAAGTGGCGGGCAATGGCCTCGACGAGAATCTTGGCGTTCTTGACGTTGGTAACAAGAGGAATCTGATAATCAACAGCCATACGTCGAGTCTGGTAACCCTTACTCATGTAGTTGGCAGGACGGCGGTACTTGTTGTTGGAAGGCAAGTTGATGTACAGATCAATGGTGTTCTTAGCCAGATGCTGGGTGAGGGAGAACTCAGAGCTGCGATCCTCCTCCTTACCGAGAACCTCAAGGTACTGGCACTGAACGCCGTGCTCCTGGAGGAAATCGGCAGTACCGGAAGTAGCGAACAGCTTGTAGCCGAGCTTCTCAAGCTTCTGTACAGAAGGAAGCATCTCACGCTTGTCCTTGTAGGATCCAATGGACAGAAGGATGTTCTTCTTGGGAATCTTGAAACCGGTAGACATCAAGGCCTTCAGATAGGCCTCATTCTTGTCAACACCGAAGCAAGCAACCTCACCTGTAGAGGCCATCTCGACACCCAGTACGGGATCAGCACCGGAAAGACGGGAGAAACTGAACTGAGGGACCTTGACACCGACGCAGTTGGGAGCAAGATCGGTAGGAGGGTAAGCCTGGAAAGGCTGGCCCATGATAGCCTTGGTGGCCATCTCGATCAAGTCAACACCCATGACCTTGGACACGAAGGGGAACGAACGTGAGGCACGAACGTTACACTCGATGACCTTGATGTCGTTGTCCTTGGCAATGAACTGAATGTTGAAAGGACCAGTGACGTTGAGAGCCTGACCAATCTTGCGAGTGGCCTCTTCAATACGCTCAATGGTAGTGGCCTCCAAATCCTGAGGAGGCAAGATAAGGGTAGCATCACCAGAGTGAACACCGGCGTTCTCGACGTGCTCAGAGATGAAGTGGCCAATAACCTTACCATCCTTGGCAACGGCGTCCATCTCAATCTCCTTGGCATTCTCAATGTACTTGGTAATAACGACAGGGTGCTCCCGAGAAACCTCAGCAGCCTGGTCCAAGTAGTTCTTGAGATCCTTCTCGGAGTAAACTGTGTTCATAGCAGCACCCGAGAGGACGTAGGAGGGTCGAACCAGCACAGGATAAGAAACAGCGTTACAGAACTCCTGAGCATCAGCAAAGCTAGTAAGCTCCTTCCAGGTAGGTTGATCGACCTCAATACGATCCAACATACGAGAGAACTTGTATCGGTTCTCGGCGTTGTCAATCATCTCAGGAGAAGTACCCAGAACCTTGACACCGGCACGGTGCAGGGGGAGTGCAATATTGTTGGGGGTCTGACCACCCATAGCACCCAAAACACCGCTTGAGTTCTCAAGCTGGTAAATGTCCAGGACAGTTTCGAGGTTAATGTTCTCGAAGTAAAGCTTATCAGCTTCGTCGTAGTCTGTACTAACCGTCTCCGGGTTATAGTTGACCATGATTGTCTTGAAACCGGTGGCACGAAGGGTTCGAATGGCTCGGACTGAGCACCAATCGAACTCTACGGATGAACCGATACGGTAGACACCAGAGCCCAGGACCATAACACCGTGATCGTCAAAGTTGACGTCGTGATCAGAGGCATTGTAGGTCATGTAGAGGTAGTTGGTGAAGGCAGGGAACTCAGCAGCGACGGTGTCAATCTGCTTAACAAAGGGCTGGATACCAGCCTCAAGTCGCAGGCGGCGAACAGCAATCTCGTTGGAGCTCCAGAACTTGGCGAGCTGACGATCACTGAAACCCAGACGCTTGGCCTGGAGAAGGATAGAGGGGCTGGTGGTGATGTCGGTTGTGCTGTAGCTTGTCATCCTCTTGGCGAAGTCGCTCAAGCCCTTGAGCTTGCGGAGGAACCACTTGTCGATCTTAGTCAACTCCCAAATCTTGTCGACAGTGTAACCCTCGTGCATGGCGTTGGCAATGGCAAACAGACGCTGGTCAGAGGGGGTCTGGAGCTCATCCTCAATGCTCATGAGGGCCTCGGTTTCGTTAAAGCCGAGGTTGTGGAAGTCGATGGCTCGGATGGCCTTCTGGATGGCCTCCTCGAAAGAACGACCGATACTCATGACTTCACCCACACTCTTCATGGAGGAACCAAGCTGAGTGGACACACGGGTGAACTTCTTGAGATCCCATCGAGGCATCTTGACCACGACGTAATCTAGCGAGGGCTCGAAGCAAGCACAGGTGGACTTGGTGACTGAGTTCTTAATCTCCTTAAGAGGAATACCAAGACCAAGCTTGGCAGCGATGAAGGCCAGAGGGTAACCTGTAGCCTTGGAGGCGAGAGCAGAAGATCGAGACAGACGGGCGTTGACCTCGATAATGCAGTACTCGCGGGAAAAGGGGTTTAAGGCATACTGGATGTTACACTCTCCGACGACGCCAAGATGGCGAATGACATTGACAGCTGTTGTTCGCAGCATGTTGTAGTCCTCATCAGACAAGGTCTGCGAGGGGGCGACAACAATAGAGTCACCAGTGTGGATACCGAGGGGGTCGAAGTTCTCCATGTTACAGACTGTGATACAGTTGTCTTGAGCATCACGGACAACCTCATACTCGATCTCCTTCCAGCCCTTCATACTACGCTCAATCAGAACTTGGGGACTGGCGGCGAAAGCCTTGTTGCAGAGATCCATCAGTTCTTCCTCGTTGTTGGCGAAACCACTGCCGAGACCACCAAGGGCATAGGCGGCGCGCACAATGACGGGGAAGCCAATGTCCTTGACGACGTGCATAGCCTCGTCGATGTTGTTGGCAGACGCGGACTTGGCACACTTCTCGCCAATAGAGTCCATGCTTCTGGCAAAGAGCTCACGATCCTCAGTAGTGATGATGGTATCGATCGGAGTACCAAGAACCTTGACACCAAGAGACTCGAACTCATCCTTGAGCTGAATACCGACCTGAAGGGCGGTCTGTCCACCGAAGGTCACATAGATGGCATCAGGTCGCTCATACTGAATGACCTTTCGAACGAAGTCGGCGTTGACAGGGAGGAAGTAAACCTTGTCAGCCAAGCCCTTGGAGGTCTGGATAGTGGCGATGTTGGGGTTGATGAGGACAGTGTAGATGCCCTCTTCCTTCAAAGCCTTGATAGCCTGACTACCAGAGTAGTCAAACTCACCAGCCTGACCAATGCTGAGACCACCACTGCCAAGAACGAGGACCTTGCGAACAGAGACGCGGGGGTGAAGACGCTCGTTCTCCTCGATGGTGCCACCAGGGAAGCTGACAGGAGCCTTGAGAAGCTCGGGCTTCTCGGCACAGTTGGCCATAGTGTTGATGAAGACATCGAAGAGGAACTCGGTGTCGCGAGGACCAGGGGTGCTCTCGGGGTGGAACTGCACACTGAAGTAGGGCTTCTCAGTGTGGAAGATACCCTCGTTACTACCATCATTGGCGTTGACGAAGAGCTCCTTCCAGCCATTGGTCAGGCTGTCGGTATCGACGGCGAAACCGTGGTTCTGAGAAGTAATGTGGCATTTGCCAGTAACCATGCTGGTGCAAGGAATGTTGTGGCCACGGTTACCGAACTTCATCTTCTTGGTGGTGGCGCCAGCAGCACGGGCGAGGAGCTGGTGTCCCAAGCAAATACCGAAAACGGGGATTTCATTCTTCTCGAGGACGGCAGCGATGTTCTTAACGACGTTGTCGAGCATAGCGGGGTCACCGGGACCGTTAGAGAGGAAGAGACCGTCGAACTCGTCGATGGCGCTGGCGATATCGTAGTCCCAGGGACAGACAAGGACCTCGACACCACGCTTGAGGAAGCACCTCAGCTGGTTGAATTTCATACCGACATCGAGGCACAGAACACGGATAGTACGCCCGGATGGGTGCTTACGGGCGACCGACGTCGGAGGCTTGTAGAGCTTAGGAGCCTTAATGGAAACTACATATATAATGAGCATGCGTCTCCGAGTTTGAAAACGCTAGGAAACTCACCTTCGGCCACCAAGTTCTTGGTGTTGGGGTTGACCCATTCGACCTGCTCAAAGTGGTCGGTAGGCAAAGCAGCCAAGGCATCGTCAGCCTGACCGTTGACAGAGCCATTGGTCAGACCACGAGTCTCAAGGCGCATCTTACCCAACATGCTACCCTTCTCACGGATTCTTTTAGTCAAAGAGCGGGTGTCAACGCCGTACATAGCGGGAACACCCTGCTCCTTCAGCCATGTGCCCAGAGAAGATTTGGCCAAGAAATGAGAGAAGTCCTCGCCAGCATATGAAGCTGTGACGAGACCAGCAATGTGGATTTCGCTAGACTCGAAGTGAGCGGGCAGATCGCCGAGGAGCTCATCCATAGCCTCGCGCGAGGGGACACCATAGTTTCCGACGAGAGGGAAAGTGATGACGAGAATCTGGCCGCGGTACGAAGGATCCGTTACGGACTCAGGATAGCCAACCATACCCGTTTGGAAGACCAGCTCTCCAGCAATGCTCTTCTGGGCACCAAAGCTGTAACCCTGGAAGGAGGAGCCATCTTCAAGCTCGAGGCAGGCGAGGCCATCATCCTCGGCGCCAATCTGACGAGCAGAGGCTGGAGGTTGAGGAACCAAAGCCATTGTAGTGGTTATGGTTATGACTTAGGAATGAAGCAAAGGAAAAGACAAAAAGCACCTGCACTGGGCTATATCAACAAAATACCCAAAGAAGCGCGGGGCAACGACGGGGAGGGGTCGTCGCGGGAGGACAGGGAGATTGCGAGCGACGGGCCGGCAAGTTAACTCGTTTTCAGAGCTACCCTGGTAAGGTCAGAAGCTACCTCGCAATCATCAGCCTCAACTGTAGTTGGAGGTAAAGAGGATGTTGGAGAAGAGCGAGGGTTTGGGAGGAGGAGAAAAAAAAGAAAGAAGTCTTTTGATGGAAGCGGCCCTCGAAACTTTTTTTATCGCCGGGCTGCAGTACAGGGTGCTCCCCGCTGTGGACTGCTATAAACTCTAATTGGCCAATTGAAAGATGGTTCCCTTAATGCAGCCAATTGCAGCATTCCATTAAAATCTGCAGGGACACTAAAATGCCCCGCCGTGCCTTGGCCAAACTTCTCAAGCCTCTCCACAAGCTGCGCAACAACCTTTCATCATGACTGATCGCCATCAGAAATGGTTGGACTTGAGCCTCGAGAGTGGGTTTGTTAGATCAGCGGTCAGGGTTTAGCCGCACCGTCGATACGGGCCAAGGCAGTGGAAAATTCCCTGCCCGAGTTCCATGGCAGGTGGCGGGGAGACTTGTGAAAGGCTCCGGTAACGGAAGAAATATCTACGACATATGCGGATTGGAGTTGTCATGACAAAGTCTTCAACGTGAAAAACAACATATCACCAACAATGCTGTAGGGAACCATTCTGGAAGCTGCAGAATGCCCGTAAGCTTCCAGTCCGTAAGCATGATACTAACTCTTACTGTGAGAAAGAGCTGCAGTCAGCCACGCAACAGGACAACCTTTTCTCAGCCGGCACTCAACACCCAAGATCCATGATCGAAAAAGCTCGAGCCTAGGGCGACAGCGAGAAAAAAGGCGCTTTATATGACAGGCTAAAACATAAAACATCCACTTTCCGCTCAGCATCCACCTCCACAGCTTGAAAAAAAGAATTTTTTTTTCTTACATCTGATCTTGCTATGATTGGATTAGTTCACGGTGACTGTCCACCTTCAGTCAGGTTTAGCCTCATGCGAGCCGCCAAAACCCGATATGCAGGTTCACTAGCAAGTACCTATCCCGACATGAGGTTCGTGCCACACCATGTATGTCTTAACAATTCTAGAGTAGAGAAATGACATCGTATACTCTGTTGCACATGAAGATATATACAAATATCTCATAAACGCTGTAAATTCGAATATCAGACAAAATATCCTTATTTTATAGGTATAGGATAAATTCGGATCGAGATCGAATCGATAGAAACTACTCCCTAAGACTGGGCACATTGATGCAGGCAAATGACGTGAAATCATTTATCCAGGCTAGACTCTCTTGGCTTTTCATCGTTAATTCTTCTGAAGGGAGCTCCCAACGCCCTGAGCAAAATCACCAACTACATATACACTTCTCCTTTTGAACCACCCCCAAAGTAACGCTATTCTTATAACAATATTGCTTCTAATCTGCCAGTTTGTCGAGCTCTTAAAACCAAGCCAGCCCTTATACCATAAAAAAGAAGAAAAAAGTGTTATGCTATTCGTTAGATGAACTGGTCAAATCGACCCAAAATAACTCCCATCTGAATCTCTATAAACCTTGGCACCATATTTACGCCTTAACGTTCTTTGTCTCACTCAGTAGTCGTGTGAGCCAGCAGCGTTAGGGCATAGGAGGTGCCCCCATATTCGTGATCTTGGGCGTCCTTTGTGCTGTCGGGCTGGCCTGGCTTCCCATCATGCCAGGCTTCTGACCGCCTTGTGTATTCATGCGGTAAGCTGGTTCTCTCTTCGGGTCGATACCGGGGAAGACAGCCTGCAGCCTTGAATACAGGTCCCTGATGCTATTATTTCGCTCTTCACGGTCAGCGACCGGGTCGATATTGTTTTCCGCCCCTTCAGGTCCTACAGCTGGGACCCGAAGTTTGAGCGAAAGAGTCAGAGCAGGCGCAGTGAGGTATGCTGGACAGGGTGGAACTTTAACTTCAGGCTTCCGATCTGCAAGAGCGGCCATATACGACAAGTTTGCTTGCAATCTCCTCATACATCTGATGGACAGTTAGTTGTGTAAAGTGATACTTTGTCCAAATGAGAACTCACTGGAGATAATCCTGCTGTAGTTGTGTCTCTTCATCCGTCGGTTTTTTCTCAGCAGGGTTTCCAGCTGCAGCGCTCTCCTTCTTTAGTTCCTGTTGAGTTGCCTGGATTTGTATAGATTCATAGAGAAGTTCGTGGTTGATATCGAGCAATAATGCGAATCGTTCCTTGTCTCGAGACTCAGTACCAGGGCTTAGCGGAGCCGCTGTTGAAGCTCCATTAACAGCCGGTCCTTGATTCGAAGAGAAGGTTGGCGTCTGAGGTGTCGATAAGCCGGCAGATGCTGGCTGTTGTTGCTGCTGCTGTTGTTGCCCTTGCCCTTGTGCCTGTGCCTGTGCCTGTGCCGAAGCTTGTTGAGTCTGCTGCTGTTGTTGCGGCTGCGGTTGTTGAGACTGCTGGTTCGTAGGGGTTTGGCTTTGGGAGGGAGGCTGAGGTGTTGGAAATTGACCCTGTTGCGAAGGTAGAGCGTTGTTCGGCGTCCCTTGTGCGGCGCTCGGGGGTCTTTGAGGGGTCGATACCTGACCCATACCAACGGGGTTGGCAGCTTGTTGTTGTTGTTGTTGTTGTTGTTGTTGTTGTTGTTGCTGCTGCTGCTGCTGCTGCTGTTGCGCTTGAGCCTGCGCTTGCTGTTGCTGTTGCAATCGTTGCATCATCTGAGGATTCTGGGGCATCCCGGGTTGGTTCATTGGGAAGCCCTGCATGCCTCCGCCCATCATGTAATTTGGCGCAAAATTTTGAGGAGCGACCGACGAGGGAACGACTTGACCGTAGGGGTTGCCAGCGAACTGCTGTTGGAAGCCTGCCACTGTGCGCAACATGTTAGCTGTTGGGTGTGGAGGAGAGGGGGGTGTTTTGTCGCGTCGCATATCGGTTTGCGCCGCGCTTCTTCTTAATCACGCCTGACCACAGACTGTCCACACATCGTTAAAGAGGCTGGTGCTGTTTACTAGAGCATTGGAGGCAGGCGCGTCGTGAAAGATTCGATCGAGGATTGCGCGCAATGAAGAAATGGTACCTACTCTGACCATTGGCAGCCATATGCTGCATTCCTGCGTTTGGCATCATGCCTCCTGGACCAGCACCCATCATTTGAGGATTCGCGCCAGGGTTAAAGCCTCCTTGAGGCGTCATGCCGGCGAACTGCTGTTGCTGGTTATACATCATCTGCTGAGCGGCTGGCTGGGCTCCGGACTGCTGCTGTGGGGCAGGGTTGTTGAAAGAGGGAGCAGCATTGTTGCTAAAGCCGTAGCCGGCGGAGTACATGGCTGTTTGTGACTGTGACTGTGATTGTGACCTGGGCTGGGCTGGGCTGTCGCTTTCAGGGCGTCAAGGCGTCAGTACAGCGCTTCAAGCGGCAGCGCGTGCTGTACTGGCTGTGCTGTGCTGTAGCAGCGGCAGAGGGCAGCGTATAATAGTGGGAGGGATGTGTTGGGATTGCGCCTGTGTGAGCGAGAACAGGCTTGTCGTTGGCTGGCGATGGAACACGAATGGGGTCCAATCAGTCGGTCAGTCCATCAATTCATGAGTGACAAGTGAGGAGTGCAGGAGGTCGTATGGCGTGGGATCGGGAGGCTGGGCTTGTCGCTTGTGTACGGATATGGACATGTATGGACGCGGTTCAGTTGGTTCAGGTTCCAGGATTGGAAATGAAACCTAGAGTTAACTCAACGGTGGGCAGTTGAGACGTGGTTGTGTGGGTCCAAATGTTACGGCAGTCTGGGTGGGCAACCAGGCCGTTTTTGTCACAGTTACACTTCAGCTACCGTACCGTCAGCACTACGTGTTCGACATCAGCTATCGAGGTGTATATCCTCCCTGCCTCCTTCTGTACATACCGCGTTTGTGATTTAACTTTCGCCTATATCTGTTATTTTTCACGAAATTCTATTCGCATATATCATTCAGACCACCTCAGTCTATTCTTCGTTCCCCATACCTCTAGGCTCCAAACATTCATGTCGCCGACGTTTCCAGTAAACAAGGGTAGTTCAAGGAGCTGCAGTCCATGTGAGACATATATTGACTTGGGCTGACTGAGTTTAAATAAAACTATCACCCAACACCAGCGTCCCCGTATCACTAACTTGGTCCCGGACTTGTTTGCTCTTATTATCAGCCGCACGCCATCCAAAGAAGCTGAGTATCACTCTTGACCTGTTAACACTTCCCAGCATTTATACCATCTTCAAGGATTTGCTTCATAACAGGCGCCTTCACAAAATCCTCCCTAACCTCAGTGTACAATTAATACCTACCATATAACCAGATATCCTCACAGCCCCAAGCATACCCCAAAACGACAAAAATAAATGATCACGCTGGGGATCGAACCCAGAATCTTCTGATTCGTAGTCAGACGCCTTGCCATTGGGCCACGCGACCTTGCTCTTGGATGATTCCTGGTGGCCAAATTCCCGTCCAAGATTGTGGACAACACAAACGGAGAGCTTGCTTGTCCACCGCAAATGCGATTTTAAACTCGTGGATTAGTTCCTTGTTTGTTATTCATCTTCTCCTCTCGTACGAGTGAAAATTAATGGATGGTACTGGGTATACCTCTGCAAACGACCTATGTGGAGTCCACTGTCCTTGAATTACCCCATTGTTGGCCGGATTGTCCGTGATAGGGTTTGCTGTCAAGTTCATAAGCAGTCTATTAAGAACCAACCCGAGCTGACTCAAGTTTTCTTATATATCAATTGTAAAGGCATGTTAAGAATGATAAACTATACCACCCCTTTACACCAGCGTTTCATAAACACAAGAGGTTGAGTAAGAAGCTGATACCCAATCCATGACTATGGAGCTTATCATAAGCCCGTTTGATCAGTGTAGTGATGAAGTGAAAATGTACATAGACCATTGATCCTGCCAGACTTCGGTCTGTTAACAACGGGTTCTCTTCCAGATAAAGTTGCCCACTTGCTGAAGTTGACTAAGGGACGCGAAGCGATGATGTAGATGTGGACAGGTTAGAGGTAAAGGGAAAATAAAATTTATCGTTATAAGAGATTCGTATAATATATCTGAGGTTTGCAAGTGCTCTCGCGTCATGAAGATGACAGAGTACCTTAAGCTGTTGGTGACACACAAAACGAGTCTTGTTGTCTAGCCAATCATGGCTCAAGGGAGTTACACAAACACTCTGCCAATCATCAACCGCGCGGTACAACTATAAACTCCCCAGGTTAACCTCAGTGGTTGTGTTAGTCGCAATAATCTTGTATATACATTACAAGAGATCATTGTCCTTACGTTTCTTACCGACCTCAAGGTTTTAAAGCCAAGGAACATATTAATAAGGAGATGATTCTCACTTCGACGCCTGGCTAGACCTGGAGCGATTAACAAAGCACAGTCTCACACAGGGTTGGTCTTTCAATATTAATACAAATAAGCTATCAGGAAGTCGGGATTAGAATGTTGGTTTACGTAGTGGCAATATGTCCTATCAGGGTGCAAAAGGTTAGCGCTTTCCTCGGAGAGGATCGACACCACTTAACGCCAGAGTCAAAAAGCATGATCACGCTGGGGATCGAACCCAGAATCTTCTGATTCGTAGTCAGACGCCTTGCCATTGGGCCACGCGACCTTTGTTCTTGAATTTCGTGGTGGTATTTGATACTATTGGTCTGGAGTTGTGCCGAATTGTAGAGTTGGACGTTAGACGATGTCTGTTTGTATTGCCGACTTAACTGTGGCTATGAAACTTGATCCCTGAAATAGTGATTGGCTTTATAACAGTGCTCTGTAGCTAAGACTTTAGCCTTCACTTGTAAGGATGATTCTTTATGCCTATAGCGGACTATCATGACTGGGAAGACATAAAGGTGTTCGAATCTCACTGGGAGAATTTGGATTCTTCTGTCGGTATTATACGCCCATTGTCAGTAGAAACATAACCCGATCGCATCATATGATAAAAACTCAAATAGGATAAATCGAAACATAGTTATTAACTTATCTATCCTCTGTTGTCTCTTCGTTTCTCAATCATGAAGCCGCAGTTCAGAATTTTCGTTGTACTTCAGGGTAACGTTCTAGCCCATAGATGACTCCAACATCAGAATATACCTTAGCCATACCCATTGTGACTCAATTGCGTATCGGAAAACAATCGTCCCGTCATACTGCAAGCCTTTACCTATATTCAATTGCTTATCAAGGTTCTAAACACCACATCGTGGGATACATATACGCCGTATCCAATGCTTCCCCTCTATCATGACAAGATGAAAGCCCCACAAAAAAGTCAATGACTCCCCTCCGGCGTCGGACTCAGCAACCAAAAAGTGTTAAACACCACATCTTAAAGAGCCACACATCCTCATCACTCCTCAGTTCGTCAGGAGATAAATCACCACCAAAATGGCTCCCTTCAACCTCGAAAGCTGTGCCAGGCCAAACATCTTGGCCCTCCAGCCATATCGCTGCGCGCGAGAGCATGTTGCCCCTCCCCCGCATTAGAGCAACGACTAACTTTCCCCAGCGACTACAAGGATGACGGCACCAATATCCTTCTCGATGCAAATGAGAACGCGTACGGTCCCTCTCTGAGCTCAGACGTCGCAGAGAAGACTGCCAATGGTGTAGAGGTCGACTTGCTGGGCCTGCACCGTTATCCTGATCCTCACCAGGAGCCGTTGAAGCAGCAGCTCTGCGAACTGCGAAACACCCACGCCCATACAGATAAGACTCTCAAGCCTGAGAATCTGTTTGTGGGAGTTGGCAGTGATGAGGCTATCGATGCTCTACTGCGTTGCTTCTGCGTTCCTGGAAAGGACCGCATCCTTACATGTCCGCCTACGTATGGCATGTATTCGGTGTCTGCACAGGTCAACGATGTGGCTCTCGTTAAAGTTCCCCTTTTAGAAGCTCCCACATTCAGCATAGATGTTCCAGCTGTCATGGAAACTCTGACAAAAGAGCCTAACATTAAGCTTGTCTACCTTTGCTCGCCCGGAAACCCCACTGGCTCAGTCCTTGCCAAGTCCGACGTGCAGCAGATTCTTGATCACCCAACATGGAACGGCGTTGTCGTTCTCGACGAAGCATATATCGACTTTGCCCCCGAAGATGCTTCTCTGGCTGAATGGGTGACCGAGTTCCCTAACCTGGTCGTTATGCAAACCCTCTCCAAGGCCTTCGGCATGGCTGGCATCCGACTCGGTGCTGCATTCACATCCCCCCCAATTGCACGACTTCTCAACAGTCTCAAGGCCCCTTACAACATTTCCAGCCCTACAAGTGCCCTTGCGTCCTACGCTGTCTCGGAAAAGGGACTCGCTATTATGCGAGACCACCGTGCGCGCCTCCTAGAGCAGCGTGACCGTCTTATTAAGGAACTCTCTAAAATTCCCGGTGTCGGTCGTCTACGAGGTGGCACCGAGAGCAACTTTTTGCTTTACGAAATGCTTAACACTGTAGGCGAGCCGGACAATACTGTCGCGTTGGCCGTATATGAGAAACTTGCTGAGGGCAAGGGTGTTGTTGTGCGATTCAGAGGAAAGGAGCACGGATGCCAAGGATGTCTACGAATCACAGTCGGTACAGATACCGAGGTGACAAGATTCCTGGAGTCACTGAAGACGACGTTGGCTGAGGTGAGAGGATCATAAACTTGGGCACTAAATAGGAAAAGGACGATAAAACGACGGCGTTCTACGTCAGATCTAGACCTTCTGGGCGTAATCTCGTGGAATTAATACAAGCAACGCTCAGGGTATGAGCGTTTTATACCAAAGTAGTCTCTCAGACCGTTTATCCAAATACCTGACGCCTATTCCATTCTATATCTATAAGGTCTAATAAATAGCCAACAACTCTTGTTTAGGCCCATCCTAAAAACAACAGGACACTCCCAATACTGACCGAAGCCAGGACGAGATCCGCTCTAGAGAGATTAGCAGCATCCTCACTCTTGGTAGGCTGAGCTGCAGTTGCTGATGATGTCTCTGACGAGGTTGATGGTGTACTCTTGGTTTTGGACTCGTGCTTTTCCATGGCAGCCCAGTCTGTGCTGCGGACAACCTTGACATCATCGCCCTTGAGCGGCGCAGGAGCATCACTTAGTAGCAAGCCCTGAACAGCTTCAAGAGCACACATTTGCTGCCCGAGACCGGGATTTCCATCAAAACCAGAGACATACCATCGCATACCACACTCACGGCCAGACTTCCCTCCCGTACATGTTTGGACAGCAGCCTTGGCCGATGGGAGGAGATGAGCATGAACGTACCCCTTCAAAGCGGGCTGCATCTGAATGGACAGGTACATGAAGCGTGATAGATAACCCTTGAAGGTGGACATGTCGTCGTTGCATGTGTTGACGGTCTCGCAGGCAGCTTCGTACATGATGTTGGTCGCGTTGGGGAATGGCGAAAAGAACCAATCGGTGCCCTCTAGGAGACGCTTTGAGCGGTCGATCCATTCTGGCTTCTCAGTGTAGTTGGCGAGAACTGCCGCGCCATAAAGATATATACCGCTGGTGTAAGTAAAAGAATGGTATGTTGTCTTCTGGCAGTTGTCTTCCACACTGGCGCCGTCATAAACATGATAGTTGCGGTGATCGATGAAGCCCACTTCCCAGGACCAGTCCCAGATCTTAATGGCCCAGTCGAGATATTTGTTATCACCAGTGATACGAGCCAAACGGGCAGCAAGTTGGAAGAAGCCGCCGTTGCTGACTGAGTTTTTGTATGTCATGCCATTCGGGTTACTTGGGTAGATCTGCCACAGGAGGCCGCCACCACAAGCTGTTGTATTCCATCGATCAGCAAGCTCGTTGAATACGTTAATGCTGATATCGAGCCACGATGGGAGGTCCTTATTGGGCTGAGGGAAGTTTCGCTCAGCGGCGGAGAGGACGGCTGAGCCCCAGAAAAAAAGATCATCGTTACCCTCCTCGTCGGCGTGCTCTGCAGGCATGTAATCGTTACCGGTGCCGAGATTTGTAGGCCCCAGAAGAGCTTCGATGACCACATCGTTGTAACTGTAATCTCCAGTGAGGTGGTAGTAGTCGAGCATGACACCCCATAGGGCACCAGCTACCCACCAGTAGTATGGATCTTGAAGGTCGCCGAGATCTTTGGGTACTGATGATGTGTTGCCACCGTAGTACTTCATGGCATCGAAGGCGAGCGTGCCCGCTACATCTCGGATTGAATCTGAAGTTGTTGGTGAATTGCAACACCTCTTGGCCGTGGGACATACCTGGATTTGCAGTATCAAGTGAACTGGGAGGCGTTTTGGTAGCGATGGCTATAGAAGCCAAACCGGCCAAGGGAAAAAACTTCATAATGTGTCTATTATCGGTGATGGGTATGGTGTATGGTGTCTATGTTGAGTATGCTTAAGATTCTTGATCGCTCAGCGATAGTCTTCTCCTGGAAGATTGATTCAAAGTCTTTTTGGTGCTTGCAGCAAGTTGATAGTTTTCCGGGGTCCGATAATGAGTGTAAGTTAAAGGCGATTAATGGCAAGTGATATGGAATGATCGTCTAATTATTCGGGCAAGAGCGAGGCGTTCAACTCAAACAAATCAAGCTCCCACAACAGGTACGAGAGAAAATCAGGCGTAGAAGTTGACCACGCCTTCGGGGGCATGAAAAGTAAGATAAGAAAGAAATAAGAAGCGAAGGACGGGCCACCAAAAGATAAAAATACAATCACAGCTGAGAGGGAACGGGAATACGAGAACGCAATGAGCTAAAGCTGAAGCTCCAAAGACGTTCGTTCTTTTCAGGCTGGACTGGGCTAGTCCAAAACGTTGATAGAAGACGGGGGCTAGTCTAGGTATTAATACGTGATACCCTTGCTTGGCGGATTGTTTTCAGAGTTAGACACACAGGGAGGACATCTTGAGGAACGAATGACGAATCGTGCTGGGTTCATGTGTAGACTAAGACTTTAGCTGATGAGCCTCAGACAAAGTCAACCGTTGAATCATGACCTCTCCATTTTCCATGTTCATGGGTTACCGAGCTCTCCCCGCAGACGGACACGACAAGGTACACAACCCTTGAAGGCCCTGCTCTCGGCGATCAGCCGTTGATTGTGGCCAGTAGAACATGTCATCGTGTTGGTGTTACAGACACAAAGAACCGGCCGTTTCGACTGGCCGCGCGGGTAAAGAATTGCCAGTCACCAAACCACAGTTTTTGTTTCCCAGGAATATGAATCTAGTGCAAGGTACTGTAGGATCCAGGGGTAAAAGCCACTAAACCTTAGCTGACAGATGCCTTGGGGGAGGGGATTGGTGGGCGTCAAGAGTTGGAGGAAGAGGCTTGGCGCCACCATGTTCATGCCCTGACTAGAGGCTTTCGGGGATTATCGCAAGGCATTGAATGTTGATACTCTTCTGGGAGACCTGGCGAAACAGGACAGGTTCTTCCAGAGTGTGATGTTCTCTGCTGTGTAACCATGCATCATCCAAACTCGAGCAACACAAACTCAATATCCTTGCCCATCAACTCTGCATTAACGTTACGGTCCTCATCTCCACTCCCCCACCCCCAGCAACCTTTCTTTTCCCTGCCCTTGCATGGTCTTTCGTAAAAATGATCGTCTCAAAGCCTGACTCACTGACGAAACACGATGCTCAAAAAAAGAGATCTTCAAACACGAAACAACGCCGGGCATTTCTCTCGTCTGATCTTGATTGCAGCGTTTCCGACCTTGCCGTGTTATCATGCGGCACTTTTTTCAAGTCAGACACGAGGAAATTTTTGAAAGTCGCAACCTTACAGGACTCGAAGGAAAAGCAACTGTAAAGTCAGCCTAGGTCCGTGCATTGTTTACGAGATTCGGGTCGGTTCCGACATTGGAAGAAGCTCAAGGCCAAGCTTCTTGTCTTACATGTGGAGATGCAGGCGGAATTTAAGATCTCCCACACTATAGATGGTAGTAGAAAACTTAGGACCTCAATCTTAAGTGACAAAAATATTAGAATATCTTGGGATAATTTAGCATAAACTTAGTGGGCTCTTTGGCTGGGTTTGTTTTTGGCCCTACTTTAGATTCTTAAGTCTTTTGACAACCTGAGGGCACTCTTATGTTGGACACCAGCACTGTTTCCCATGTCTCGGAACCTTGAAATTGCTGAGATGTAGTCTTCGTATGGTTATGAAGCTACCGGAGCTTGGCCGGATGTTGTCTTCCTTTTTGAGCCTCCTTGCAAGCCCGTCAGCAGTATTAATTTGCTGTCTTGCTGTGCCACCGTCTTAGTGAGACTGTCTCCAGTGCAGTTATGGATCAGGTCTCAGAACCAGGGACCGGCCGCTTCAAGCATGAAGCGCTCACTCAGATCAACTTGTTCTCAATCTATTGACCTTCGGAGGCAGAGTGTCGGGCCTCCGTAAGCTTACTCTCTCCTTCAGATGATACCATTGTTGGCTGAAAACCTTAATGAGCAAGGTATACTCTTGCGGCCGCATACAAACACTGCACGCTACAGCGCGTCGCCGACGCCTTTGCAGTTTAAGACACGGCTGGTCGCCATGTCTCTCAAAACTCTTACCCCTTCTCTCCGCCATTTCCCGTTCTTTGCCTCCATTCCCAGTGCCGCGTAATCATCAAGTAATGCATGTGTTGAAAGTTAATAATAAACACAAAATAACAGCATCAACAAAGAAAAAAGCATCTGAATATTTCAATGGAGTTCTAAAATTGTGTACGTAGTCTTAGGTTTCTGGAACATTAGGTTGCTCGTGAATGACATATCGCTACACGATAAACAGCCAGATCCTGTAGGGCTGAGAGAATGGCTGGTTTAGTTGGAGTCTGCAACGAGAAGCGGACGGAAGGAAGGAGCATCATGACTTCCCTCTTTGATAACAAATCTCTACGCAAGGTCCGGGCCGCTGAGCTTAAATTAAGCGACACGTGACTGAAAGAGGAAATCGCCAAAACCAACCTCACTTGAGTTGGTGATGTGAGGACATGAGCGAAGGGATATAATTTTGATGATAAATCGAGCTTCCTCAAAGTCAATGTGTCCTATCAAGCAAGCTCGCTTAAAATTTGGACAAGATCGTGGTGATAGATTAACATATCAGCTTCCGTACGCTCTGCCAGCAATATGAATGCACACACAAATATATCGATAAAATGATTATTTTTCTCTGACAGCCCATGAGGTCTATCTATCTATTCTATCGCGAAAAGAATCCAAATAACATCATGCATATCAAGTTTCGTTGAGCTGGGCGGGAACACAGCTAGTAACGTTATTCGCTTGGAGGTTGTGTGACCCGATTTCCATAAAAGTTTAAGAAGTGATGATATCTCAACACTTCTGCTGCACAACTCGATTCTGTAAAAGACAGAACCCAACTGCTAATTCGCGTGCATCTTGTCGTCCCAAAATCGTCTCCATAAGTGCAAAATTGAGAGCATGATTGATCCTCGAATTTTCATATATCAAAACACGTTTAAGTCGCAAAAATGAAGGTTTAACGACACAGGCAGGATTTGAACCTACGAACGCGAACGTAACAGATGTCTAGAACCTCTTAGAGGTCCGTTCAAGTCTGTCGCCTTAACCACTCGGCCACTGTGCCTTGTTTTGTTGATGGTGGGAGACGGACTATTTTTGGTATTGAGGCATTTCTCAACGTCTGTGCTGAAAGTGGGTACTCTCATCTCACGCACAAAGTCTCCACAACTCTTTGACTCCTGAACCCAATGTGGAACTCCAAGAATTGAGATCGCAATTGCACATTTTCATTATACAGTGATCTGGCCGTCGCTCTCAATTTTCGATGACACTGTTTGTCGGAAGCCTCTGAGAATAAGTCTTCTGACTTCTACGGTCACTTCTTCAATGATGTTGTTCTTCACAAGCAAGGGTCTTTCTTGAAAAAAGCTTATGTCGATACTGGCCACAGCCGGCCTGTCCACACAAGCTGAGACGTAAAGCTCAACTGCATTAACACCTTTCAACTCGTCAATGTTGTTCTGAAGGTCGCCAATAGGCTTGATTCAAGCCAAATTGTCAAGAGGACTTGTAGCAATGTGTGAATGTTGTCATTTCGGCATGCGTCACGGCCGGCTGAGATTCCGGGACCGGAAAAATGGAGCCTGTCATTCCGGCCGGTAAGAGCATCCGGCCGTTCATGAAAGACGGTACTGGGACAGAACTCTTCTCTTTTCTTTAAACATTTTTAACCTAACACTTCCACGCCTCATTCCGCCGAAATCTTAAGCTCAATCTCCATAGTCGAACATCCTCCTCTCCTGGAGATAACATCCCGAAGAAGCAGCTCTAATCCACCTGACGCGGTTTCTGTCAACATCTTCATACAAATCGAGGAGGTCACTAGTACATTTCTAGACAATACTTCCCCTTATTATGCCTTAATACTGCCTATAAGGATTTACCAAACTTTTGTCCTGGCATCTCATGGCCACCCGATGCCATTCTGTCGAATAGACATCTGTTTGAAGCACTCAGATGTGCATGAACCTGTATCTACCGTCGGCTACAAGATTGTCTCTAAACATAAACCCAATACTTCGAGGAATCAGAACTTCCTGCATCTCCATCGCTATACCTTAACACAACAGACTTTGGGCTCGTCTTAGGATAATATTACTCTAGCTCATCAAATTTGCTATCGTTTTTGGCTACTCTTAGCTAATATACGAGCATGATGTATTAAACATACAATAATCGAAATTCAACAAAGAAAATTGCTCGCTTGCTCCCGACACCCATCATAAATCGTGTTCTCATTAATAAACGGCCGAATTCTTACAGAGTCCAACCAACCATCAAAGTGCAACAAGCAGCAAGCAGAGCAGTTTTAAAGGTGATGCTCAAACTTGCTCCAGCATTATCGCCATTTGTAGCTATCGGCATGGACACAAAATCCGTCGGTGTACTCGAAACTGCAGTAACAGGGTCCGGATCATGTGGTAGTTCGCCCATTGTCAGGACACCCCATTCTACTTCACTGCTGGAATAAGTTGATGTCCATGTCACCTCGGTTGGACCTGTGTGCACGCCATCGTTATAGCCTTCGTTGAAGCTAGAGTATCCGGAACACGTGGCCCTGGTCGTGCCTTGTAGATTACACTCTAAATTTGCGGTGCTGCACCATGTTAGTAATGGTACTTCGTAGGTATAGGGAGAACATACAGCCTTGAGGTATGCGTGCCGTGGAACCGGACAGTATCGGGACCTTCGACTAAAACGAAAGGGAACTCAAGGGATAGATCACACTCTGGAGGGTCTGAGTCGTCTGTATCTGGACAGAATATTGTATATGTTGTTTCCTTAGCTTCCGCATCCTTGTGCGTGTTAGCACCCATGATCAAGTTTGCAGAGAATGTCGACTCACGCTTGAGATGACACTGCCGCGCACGAGAGACCACGACTCTTCATCGTAATAGGGCAGATAGATAGGCGCTGTCGTTACAGCAGGCGGCTCCTCGTTAGCATATGCGAAGCTGTTCACAGCCAACAACGCCAGCCAAATTGACTTGGAGCGTGGGGACATGGTCGACTAGCTTGTCGCGCAGGGATAAAAAGAGTATGTAAAAGCCACTCTAGCCAATCAGAGCTTGTGGAAATGCAGAGCGATGATCGCGGTTGCAAAGATGCGCGCGCAAACAAGGGTTATCTTCAAGGTATGCGCAGATAAGTCAAGACAAGATTTACTCGAGCGCGAAATGATGACCTTCTTAACAGCTCCTTTTCCCAGGAAACCGGGATGGGAGGGGCCAAAGGCCAGCCAAGCATCAGCGGAGAGTGCCAAGGTCTGGGCGGCCGAGGTTGAGGTTGTGAGCTAAGAGATGGTGATGAAATTTGGGTGTGAGTGAAATGTTGACGAAACAGGAGAACGTTAGAAGAGCTGGATAAAAAAAGAACGAAACATTTTAAATAGAGACGATGATACTTTGATATATTCATCCGGATATCGGCTACAGGAAATGTCAGACGGACAAATTTATCATGACACGCCAAGACTGAGCTTTGTCTGGAATCCGATGCCAAGACGGACACTGAATGCCAAGAATGACCCAGTTTTGTGACATCCCAGCAAACGTTGCATTCAAGCAATATGAATTCTACAATAGTAAATGGAAAATGGTTATCTAGCCTAAATCTCGAAAAAATCTCCCAGAAAACCCATCAGGAGTTACTACATCATGAGAGGACATTGTCGTATGGCTAAAGTCTGCTATTGCGGCCGCCAACCTTCAATTACCTCCTGATATTGATGAAAGATTATCGATCGAATGCGGCCTTTCCATGCAATCTTTGATGTATGAAGGTGCAGAAACAACATTGGTTTCTGGTATCATTCGGGGAGAAATGATATCAAGTTTGTGATTGATAGTCAGCAACTCTCAGCCGAGAAGTACCGTGACAGCATCGCAATCTGTCAAGGCTCCATGCAACAATCGCCACCACATTGAGGGTTGAAGTTCAGCTTTCCAGAAACAAAGTATGGGAACGGCCCAGATGTTGGAAGCCCGATGCTGTGCCAGACAGATGTACGATCTATTACTGAGGGGAGGAGTACTGTCTTACCAAGTGGCGGGGTTGTTTCTACCTCCTTCTAAGTACAATAACTACAGGCAACGAATCAGGATAGCATCAGTAATTTAGTTTTTCTTTTTATAAACGCGAGCATGAACTACTTGCGGCGGGCATTGAGCTGTACAAGTTTTCGCCGCCTACCTCAATGTGGCGAAACACATTGAAGCCGTCATGCCGATGATGCATTTAGACACGGGCAAGGGGCTCGCCGTCCTTGATCTTCCTAGCACCGTACTTCTCGAGACGGATGGCTTGGATGGCGATGAAGCCAGATGTGTCTTGGGGAGTCCAGTTCATGTCCAGAGTGTCCATGCTGCTCTCATCGGCTGAGTAGAGGTTGGACGTCTCGCTGGAACGTCCAACGACATACGCGCAACCCTTATAGGCGACAAGGTTCACCTTGCCCTCGACTTGGCGCTGTGAGAACTTGATGGCATGCTCAACGAGCTCACGCTCAGGGCTGAAGTACATGCCTATTGCAAGAGTTAGTGGCTATATGGGAGAGGGAGGTGAGGATAACTGACCGTTGTAAATGGCGGCTGACCAGTCTTGAGACAGACGGTCGCGGATGGATCGAACCTTGGAGTCGAGGACCATTCCTTCAAGATCGATATGGGCCTGTCGAAGGATAGTAAGACCAGGGGTGTCTATGGAAACAATATTAGTGCTGTTTTCCGATGACTAAAACAGATCCTATCACATACCGTAGCAGCCTCGGCTCTTCAGGCCTAATAATCGTTAGCGAATAACACAGCCAACAGCGATGAACTTATAGCAATCGCGAACTCACCAATAAATCTGGACTCGACAATGTCAACACGTCCGATACCTAATAATTCGTCAGTGGATACTCATGGAGTCAGTTCAGAGTCTGGTGCCTTACCGTTGACTCGGCCAATCTCGTTCACCTCCTTGAAGATCTCCAAAGAGTTAGTGATGACCTTGTCACCGACCTCGAGCTTGACGGGAACACCCTGATCGAAATGAACAGTGAAGGGCGTGGGCTCATCGGGAGCCTTCATGGGGTCTACAGATGGAAGTCAGCGTCGACTCTTCCAAGCCAGAACAGTGAGCAGTGTCTTACCAACTGTGCGCTTCCACATATCTTTGGGGGGCTCGAGTTCTGTTTGCTCGAGAATCTGGCAGGGTCAGCACACTGCACGATAGTGTTTATGATTGAGGGGGACTTACACCGGCCTCGTACGAGCAATGGATGATGTTGTCATCCATAGACCATGGGGCCTTGGGAGTAGAGCTGACAGGGATGTTCTGCTCGGAGGCGAACTTGAGCAGATCCGCACGTCCACTGCGTGGTCATTAGCTTGGCTGCGAGAAAGCAATGGCGGGTGATCACTGACGCGAATCGGTTGTAGAACTCGGGCAAGCGCCATGGAGCCAGGACCTTGAGGGTAGGATCGCAGGCCTTCCATGCGAGCTCAAAGCGAACTTGACTAGAAAGGAGAAGTAAGTACTAGGCCAGCGGTTCATTGGAAATTGAGGCATACTCGTTCTGTACACGTTAGAAACAGAAACCTGAAAAGACGGATCTCAAGAACTTACACCCTTGCCGGTACCTGAAGAGATAGGAACCCGTGTCAGAGAATTATCTAAAAAGCAAGCAAGCTGTGACTGGACAGGGGCTGCTTACATCCGTGGCTGAGAATTGTGCAGTTGTGCTCCTTAGCAACCTTGACCATCGCCCTAGCGATGACTGGGCGGGCAAGACTGGTTCCGAGCAGGTCATCTCGATGTTAGTCGTGTTGTCTATGAATGTTGAAGCTGAGTATCTTACATCTGTCCTCATAGACTGCGTTGCCTAGATTTCGAAAGTTAGCAATCTCATTGGTTTCACACTACAATAGCAGAGACGCACATTGGATAGCAGGCCAGACGAGTTCATCAATAAGCTCCTGCTGGACATCGAGGATGATCATGCGCTCAGCACCGAGCTTAGTAGCCTTGGACTTGACAGCCTCGAAGTCCTCCTCCTGACCGCAGTCGGCAAGAAAGCACACAACCTCATAGCCCTGAAGAACCAACCATCTGAGGATTGTGCTAGTATCAAGGCCTATTACATGTATGAGCATTGGTTTATGGTCTTATCTTGAATGTTTTCAACTTACCACCTGAGTAGGCACTGAATTAGGTCAGTTGTCAGTAAGATATCATCTACCAGTCTTGATCGGACTCACAGGCAGACACGTTCCGGAGCCATTGTAATGGTTTCTTGAAGTTGAGAGATGACCTAGATTGGTAAGTGTGAGAGACAGACCTAAGAGTTATCTTAGATCCAAGAGGTATACGGGAAGCAAAGCGACTTAGTATCAGGCGCAAAGTGGGTGAAGATACTAGCAAGGCCTTACGTAGGGTCTCCAGCTCCGAAGACGGGGCTACTTTTGTGGGTCACGAATTGATAAGGGCCGACCAACCCTACCCTTGTCTGGCCATCAACAAAACTCTCAAGGTATGGATTGAAGTTGTACTAAGTGAATCCCCGCATCATGTGATTACTAACAATTAAGCTTCAGTTTGCTGGCCGAAGTCGGTATCGAGTTGTGTCTTCACCTCTTTAGCTAGACAAATTCTTGATCATCTTGCATGAGATAGAGCTGATTGTCGCTGGGAGGACCCTTGTCGAGCAAGGTTATTGATACTTGAAGATCTCTCTATTCGGAAATTTATTCATTTGACGATGCTTTTGGCCGTTATTGGAAGGTCCAAAGCCCAGCTTCTGCTGTCAGGTAGGTCAAAGGATCTAATATCTACGCCTACACTGCTACGCATCGAAGACTAGTACGGGATTTCTGTGTTACCTTCCTACAATGGGAACAGAACTCAGCCTTGTGGGTCAAGTTTCAAAGACTCTGTGGTATGGCAGGCAACGGGTCCAAGAAATACAGTTGCCTCGTGGGGAACTGCGAAAAAGGAGCAGCAAACGAAAGCCCACGTTTGCTGCCCAGACCGTCGAATGACATTGTGTTTTTCCTTTATTGCAGCAGAAGAAGACATTGACAAAATACTCATTTCAGTCAGCGAACTACACAAGGGCGGCTTAGATAGCCTTGATGGGAGTAATGTAAAGCGATGTTAACGCTGATGGTCAACAGCTCTGCTCTCACAGCATCGATTGCTTAATACATAATGCACAGCTTGATTCTTATCGAAGGCTTTAGTAAAAAGGTTTTTGGACTTGATTCGAGTAGCGAGATCTTCAAGCAGCTGCCTTTATGGATCCTATTTTCCTTCTTGCTTGGTTGAAGGTCAATGACTTGCGCTTTGTTCTTCATCGAGGCAATGTGTCTGGTGTCAGGACACAGAGAGAATATCCCAAATATATGTAGAGAACCTCATTTCCGTAGTATTATGCCTGTTTGACAGACAGCATTTGGGCACGTTTACATTAGGGTGACAGCAACGTCACATTGCCTAAAGTTGAGCAAGGAGAGGACAGTATTCACTAGATCAGCTCCTAGCGCTATCTGGGATATCAATTCTACCTCTCTCGGAACACTGAATTCTGATCATATTCCTTTCGCTATATTTACGCCTGGCATAGAAAACTCTCAGGCCGAACTATATGCCCACGCCAGTCTTTAGAGGGCCCAACTTGGCATTTCGAGAAAAGTTGCAGACCTTTTGGGGCTTATGCAGTGACTCTCCTGCATCCATGGATCAATATGAACACATTTATTCAGGCGACGCAGTTTAATGGGGCAGATATACACCATCACTTCCCCTTCCAACTATTCATGGACAGGCAGTACGCCTTCGAGGGTTATTCAAGCACGCGCAAGCGAGCATTTCTAGGCTCCGGAAACTTCTTCAGCTATGTCAATTGGAACTCAAAGCCAATATGAATGACAATTGTCCGTAACATCAACACGTCTGGAACTCCTAGGCTTGCATGCCGAACAAGTCTTTTGTTACTGGGTTATCTAACTTCTGAGGGCCAGTCGGACGAGAGCCCGACTTACAGAGGAGATCTTCACTCAAGTTTCACGAAAAGGCTCTAGAGTGGTTTGCTCTCTTGGGCCACAGTCATCTGTACAGCTACGAGGTTAACATCCCGACACCAATAGTTCTGGATCCAGATCTCTGTCTCATGCCATACACTCGCTTGTTGTCTCGCTGAGCTCACTACCTCGTCTATAGACCCTAACTCTCCACACACGCCTTGACAGGGAGGATAGGAAAGGCACCACGTTGTTTATTCTAAAGCTCCAATGTAATACCGCTTTAGTGGCACTCCGGTGTCCTATAGAACAAAACAGGCCCACCAACCCAACGGTATTCTCACAATATTCTGCCTCAAGAAAAACATCTCTAGGGCAACTTTCATATCAAAATACTTGGATAGAACGAAAATCTGCTTCGCATTGGCAAAGAAAGCCATGTAGAAACGTCAATTAGTGGCCAGGGAGCCCTGCTTGTTTCTCGTTGCTACAGGTTAGTCATGCTCCAGTTGTTTTCGGAAAACAAGGCAAAAAACTTCAGGCAACATCTCAAAGGCTGTAAGTCTTAAACTGTATTGTTGTAATAATTTAAAGCAGGTGCTTTTATCTGGGGAAGATGTTCAGGCAACCTCACAAGGATGACTCTTAGCGAGAGGCTCTAATTGCACTTCGCCTGTCCTTGATTCTCATCAACATCATGGGTCTCGTTCGAGAGCTAGGATCTAACAGTGGTCTAACAAGGGCGCCACCCCCGTAAAACTAACTCGATTCAATCAAAGCTTCACCAGAAGGATCAATAGTCCCAACGGCTTTGTTAATGACAGACGCCATCTCCACGCCAAATACGAAATGTAAGCCTCCCCCACAGTATCTCATCAAGATGTCACTGACACAGTCTTTGACATCAATATATTTAACTTTTCTCTATTGAACATCACCCGCGCATCTTCTCCAATTTTATCCCGCCCTACGAGGCCCGAGTGGGCGGTACCAAGGCGGATACTCGGAACATGGGCCGTTTTAATCTCCTTTCTAAGTCCGAAATAAGGTATCGGAGTGTTTTATTCGAGCATAGCGTTGTCGTTAAGCGGCCGCCGAAGGATTCAATCAATCAAAAGAACCGGTGAGTCTCTAACGCTTTAAAACTAGTTGAATAGGGGAGGCTCTTTTTTCTTAAAGTCTCGCGTATATCATCGTTTTTCTCCAGTCGTTCGTCGTTCGTTCAGCATTCAACCCCATACACTCATTCATTTGCTGTACAGTCACTCTTTAACAATAATCACAATGGCTCGGTCTCTTGCTCTTCTCGCTGGTGTCCTCGCCACTGTTGCGGCCCAGACTACCACCGTTGAATTCCTCCTCCCCATGTTCGATCCTCAGCCTCTTGATGGCTCTGTTGTTGCCGTGAAGGGCGGCGCGACTACTCTTGCTATTCACTGCCCTAATGCAAAGGCGACAAACTGCGGCCTTGCCGGCACCAGCACCATTGTTGGTGGCCCCTCTACCATTGAGTACTCTTACACCATGCATCCTGAGGTTGATGGATTCGATGGCGGTGAAGTGTAAGTATCCTACTCACAAGTTTCATGGCTTCAATGCCTAACAAGTCACCAGCAAGCAAGATATGGGTTGCGTCCTGGACCCTAAGAAGGATGTAGCTACCTGTTCCGTCCACCAAGTTGCAATCCTCTCCGGCATCACCGATGTCACATCCATGACTGATAGCGTGAGCGGCTACAAGTCGCTTCTCATGCCTATCACTGTTACTGCTGGCGTCAACAAGCTCAACGGCAACGACGATGCTTCCGCTACCGAGGCCGCTGGCTCTGAGGCTACTTCTGCCGATAAGCCCAAGGACACTGGTGCCAAGGCCACTGATACCGCCGACGCTACTGCTTCTTCTGATGCTGCTGCCACTCCTGCGAGCTCCGACAATGCTGCTGGTCCTATGATTACCCAGAATGCTATTCTGGCTGCGGCTGCTGTTGTTGGTGGTGCTGCTATGTTGCTGTAAATGTGAGCATGTATTTTGGACAAAAGTTTTGTAGTAATGATGCCTAATTAAATATTTGTTAACTCGGAGCCAAATTGCGAATGACATGCAATGTTAATCTAGTGAAAATCGATCGACGAAGTAAGGTTTCGGCAATCAGCGCCACACTATAACACTATGACATTAGCTCCATCCTGGCAGCCAGCCACACACGTCACATATTGGAAAATGGATACTGAATATGGCACTCATTGAGTCACGGTTGATCAGCTTGAATGCAGTATAAGCCTCTTGGTATTTGGGCTCGAACAGCAACACTTCCAAATGGTAACAATAAGACTGAGTCTACCAATAATCGCCATGATAAAGCAAGCATTACGCATAGCATCTCACTATCCGTAAAGAAATGAGCAATCTGTGAGCAACTCAAGAATGCAAAAAGACGAGAAGCAAAGAGTATCACGTGTGCGTACGAGATGTTCGAGGTCAACTCAGTTGCGATCCTCTCGTCCATCAAGCCAACTGGTACACTGGATGCAACGAATGGACTAGATAGTGTTAGTCATGATTCCATCTTGAGATTCGAACGTCTCACCTTTTCGTTGATGCGCTGTCTGCAGTACTTGCACTTCTTTGTGTGCTTCATGATAGGTTCGGACGAAGCAAGCTGCCACAAGTGCGCAAGTCCATAGAGGGCGATACCCAGCACAAGAAAGGATATCATTTGACCAACAAAAGATCTATTTGCTGTGAGTATAGATGTCTCGAAGGCCTCTGATGTTGTCGTACCCATATGCTAGGACAACAGCACCGTCCTCTTGCGCCTGGTGAAGGGTGTTGTAGCCCGTTGTCTTGTTGTAGTTGGGTCCCTTGTGCAGAACGGCAAATTTCTCCTCCATGTTTCTGTTGAGTGGGAGGAGGATCGAAATAGGTGGCATTAATACATCGCTCACGAAAGACTTTACTAGGTCTGTGAAAGCGGCCGCAAGACTGTCCAGTGTGTTAGTTGCCTTCACCGTAATTCCAGGAGACTTCATACATCAAACCAACGGCAATCTTGAGGATATCATCTTGGAACGCAAAGTCGACGAAGCCTTCCCAGAAGCGCTTAACTCTCTTGTGGCCTCGGCCAAGCAGGGACTCTGACTCTCCAGAGCCAGACTCTTCATCGTGAGATCTGCTGGGCATGATGCGATAGTTTGGGCGTGATGTTCTCCAGAGACCAGACAGCCAGGACATGGGCGAGGAGTCAAATGATCAAGGATTGTTTGTGTTCCGGACAACCTGAAAGCTATTGATGCTATATTAACTTGGTCGTGGAAGCTGAAATCAAGGTCCAGGTGCCGAAGTGACACGCGCTACACGCGGTTGTTGGTTGATGTCTGTGACGTCATGTGTACTCAATCGCACTTACAGGGTAACTGAACGACTTACACCAATTACCACCATATAGATCAACGATCATTCAGTATTTGTGAATATATTCAATAAATTAATAAATGAGAGATAGACCAAGGAGAAAAGGATCAGCCGGATATGGGTTGTTAAGAGTTTCGAAGGGCCTTTCTCGAAACTATACGACTGGGACTCGTTGCGAAACAGGCACCCTTGCGACACCATGGGTACCCATACAGCGAGCAATTGGGAGACCTCAGTATCAGTTTGACAAAGCACAGCACAATGTGACTGACAGACACGAACACGTTTGCGTGTAGATTAGATAGACCAGCTATCGCATTACTTACTATCTGACTATCTAGAGGTGCCATTCTTCTTGTTTGTATAAAAAAAAAAATCAAGGAGGGGATCATTCTGAAACTGCAAAAGGAAAGTAAAAACACTTTGGTATCATAGTCGCGCCCAATCTGGTTAACAAAAACCAATCATCAGTCTAGTCATCATGTCTCATCAAATCTAGTAGCTCCCCTTTCGTGGCTTCCACTGTCTCTTTCTCTCGCGTCGCATAAGACACAAATGCATGACCCAGTAGATAGCCGCGACGATCATGAGAGCAGCAGCAGCCCAGGTCAGCCCCAGGAACTTATTTCCAATAGACGCCGACAGCCCAACATCATCGCCGATGTCGTTGATCTTGTTGACACCCTTCTTCCCAGCCACAGTGACGAGAATGCTGGCGATAAGGAGTACAAGTGCGGCGAGCCCCGAAAGAATGACGTTGACGGCGTTGACGCCGCGACGAGCAAAGAGGAAGAATGCGCCGGCGCTCGCGACCATGGCGAGGCCGGAGAAACCCACTGCCAGGACGTAGAGGACGAATGTAACGAGGAGAGCCGTGTTGAGAAGATCGATAGAGTCTTGGATGTCATCGGGCCAGTTGATGTCAGCAAGACTCAGCTCGAAGGGACCGACGGACAGTTGCTTGTCAAGCATCTCGGTGAGGTTGAAGCGTTCTATAAGATTAGAAATTATTCTCAATCGGCGTTAGGGTCATACTCACTCTCAGGGGCAGAGTTGGTGCACTCTGTAACATTGTATCCAGCACCAGGGCTCGTGGCATTGGGCTTGTACTGTCCATCACATGTGGCCATGACATGAATGGAGTACCACTCCGAAATACCAATAGTATCGGCCAACTTGTCTGCAACGTCGCCAGTGATGTCGTTGATCTTTCCCTTGACATCGTCCTTAACTTCGTTCCACTTGTCGGTGACCTTGCCAAAGAAGCCATCATCTTCATTGTTGTCATTAGAAGAAGCGTCGCTGTCCGTGTCGAGAACGTTATGGCCAATCATTGAAGTGTTGAGCTAAATTGTCAGCTCAAGTTGTTGAGAATTTGCTTCAAAACTCACCCGTGCAACAGAGTATTCTTCCATAAACCCTTCCTTGTGACCAGCAAAAAGGCAGAGCATTGAGAGGATAAAGGCCACCATGGACAACACCATGGGCAAGAGGACGAAGAACCTCGATAACATGGTTGCGATGTATGATACTGAGGAAGTGGAGTGTCTTCGAGTTGTAGAAATACGAAAATCAACAATTCAAAGGAATGTCTAGTAGACACCGAAGAAGTCGTGTTGACTTTGCGGGTGCTGTAGTGAAATATATACTTTACGAGTACAGAGACCCTGTCCATCAATGATGCAAACTACGACAGCGCATAACCAGGTATGATTCGCGCACAGGGCTTCAAAAGAGTCTACCAAGCCAAGCTAAAAAGGAGCACAAACGCCAGAGATTCAGAACAAGCTCAAGGTCGTGTTCATGAGCGCATCGCCGTGCAAATCATGACCCCAAACAACGGCCAAATCCGAAACAGACCAATTATACATGGAGCGCTTGCGTCACTGGCTGGACTGCTTCTTTTGTTTCTTTTCTTGGCTGGGGATTCTTTGAGGGTTGCATGGCTGGGAAAACCGGTTGTGCAGGGGTCGGGGCTGGGATGGACGTCAGCCACTTGATGAATCGACAGTGGACGCGTGTGAAACAAAAGGGACAGGGATTAAGAATTGGGTCTCCTTAATCATTATTTCTATGTTTGTTCTTTATTTCGTGAAAGAGGCCTCTTTCTCGTATTTGATGCATTGTTGATGGTGGACCATTATGGGTCATTTGACTGAATCGAAGATGGAGATGGACCCTGAACATCGTCATTAGAGTTGTGCATAAGCGGGCGAGGCTTGCCGATAGCCCGGTCGAGAAGTGATTCACTGCCTCGCTTCTTTGATGCTTGCAAGAGTGAAAGACTCTGATGAATCAACAAATCCGTGGCCCTCAGTCTGCTCGGGCCTGTCTTCCTTTCTTCTGGCGATCAATACCGATAGCACTGAGAGATTGCCCTCAACAATGGCCTCCCAACCTTGTTATTCTGACTTTCCTCGCCCATGCAGCATCCAAGAGCGGGTCATCCGCTCATCTATCCGGTCGGCTTCCGTAGCTCAGTTGGTTAGAGCGTCGTACTAATACTTCAATCCGAGTGTTCGGTAATGCGAAGGTCTCAGGTTCAAGCCCTGGCGGGAGCAATCCCAACGCCTTCCGGATATTTCTTTTTGTCGATTTCTGCCCTTCCCGAAGAGTGGTTGTGGTCGTGATGTTGACCGGTGATGAAGTGGCTGGTGTTGAGCAACGATGTGCACGTAGTGTAACAGAGGTGAGCAGGCACGAAGCAGTGGTTACTCAGACTTTTTTCTTCTTTGGTTTACTATCGGGATAATCGAGTCTTTATTACACCAACACTGGGCCAAAGGCAAGCATAATCCCAATTGCTTCGACCTCGAGGCCTCAGCTAACACACTTAGCATTGTAAACTCGACTACGCGGGCGATTCCTCTCCAGGAATATCTCCTCTATGGCTCACTTGATCAAGCTACAGCACTATACTCAACTGTCCAGGCGCTGCACTCAGAGTCGTACCATCAAATGAGCTTCCTGGCCCAAGAATGCGTCGTCAACTATTGATGATCCACGTTGCCAACGACCCACATATGACGAGCACAAAGCCTAAATAAAGATGAAAAAAATGTCGCACAACTTCAGCAGAGGTTAGAGACGTGGATTATCTTCCATCGAAGCAGATAAATGACTCGTTTGCTTCTAGCTCTTCCTCCACCACTTAGAGCAGTTCTCGACGTCTGATCTTCAGCCATATTTCAAGCCTCGAACTCTGCTGCTCAAGGGGCAGACAAGAAATGAAGCTTATTTTTAACACAGGTCACTTTGCGATGGCCCCGTAGGCTTACACCGTAATATTACCACCGGTATCCCTGCTTGGATTGATGGTCAAGTCTTAGAAACTAAATGGTTATGTTTCAGGAGCCGCCTGTCAAGATCTTAGCCAAAGCCAAGACACGGTTATGCTCCCCGGAATCTTCTTCCCGGGGTAACTGACATGGTTGCTATTTTGGGTTGTCTCATCACCATTCTCTGGGGTTGCTTCCATTCCAGACTTCAAAGTCGACTCTATAATTGCCTCGATTTTTCTTCTGGCCGTTTCTTTTGTCGTTACCAACGGCCAACGGCTATCGGCAAAATGCGTATCCTTGGCCCGAATTGACTTTTTCATGGCGCCCTTCGATCGAAAGTCTATGAAGCTGAATCCACACTTACACAAGCTTCCTTACACTGGCTGCCTCGAAGCTTAACCACGTATTTCACACTATGAGTTCACCATGGACACAGTGTAAGGTAGTGACACATCCTGATATTTCTTTTATCCCGCGAGTGGCGTGTTAGACTTTTTATCGACGACTGATCGGGAAACTGATGAGGGCACCTCAACAACTGACGGGCCGACGGAGTGACTTGAGATGGACCTATGTTGCCACTGGTTTTCTCAGTGGATTCGTAAGTGTCCTTGTATTCTCGGGGTAACTCTGCAAGCTGAGTGAAGAGTCTGCCTCGATCGGACTTTGAATTGGCTCGGATGCGTGCGTGTGTGCGTGTACCTGCATGAGTACGTAGAATTATTCATCTTCGACGTGTCTTCGATCTAGTTGTGGTTCAGATTCTTAAGACAATCTCATTTCCATCTCTTCTTCTCTTTCCTTTCCCTCTTCTATATTCCTTTCTTGTACTTTTCTCTCTTTCCTAAGGACATACTTTCGTTACCATAATCCAGAGTTTCTTGTATATGTGTTATACTCTTACCATACCATCAGTCACAATGCCTTCCATCAACAGCCTCCTCACAATGGCCCTCGTAGGCTCTGCCAGCGCTGCATTCCAGGGTTTCAACTACGGCTCGACCTTCACAGATGGCAGAGTGAAGGCCCAGTCCGACTTTGAGAACGAGTTCAAGACCGCCGCTGGCCTCGAGGGCACCGGGGGCGCCTTCACCAGCGCTCGCCTCTATACCATGATTCAGGGTGGCTCAACCAACCAACCCATCTCTGCTATTCCTGCTGCCATCAAGACCAAGACCAGCCTTCTCTTTGGTCTCTGGGCTTCTGGTGACGGCTTCGCCAACGAGATCGCCGCTCTAAAGAACACTGTCGACCAATATTGTGGACAACTCGATGACCTTGTCGCCGGTATTTCTGTCGGAAATGAGGATCTCTACCGAATCTCTCCCACCGGTGTCAAGGCCAATGAGAACCCCGGTACCAACCCTGACGTCCTCGTCGACTACATCAAGCAGACTCGTGCTGCTATCAAGGGCACTTGCCTTGAGTCTGTCCCAATCGGTCACGTCGATACGTGGACTGCATATGCCAATGCTTCCAACAATGCTGTCATTGAGGCCTGTGACTGGCTTGGTATGGATGCTTATCCTTACTTCGAAGACACCAAGAACAACCCCATCTCAGAGGGTGCAAACCTCTTCAAGGCTGCCTGGAATGAGGTCAAGACTGTTGCAAAGGGCAAGGAAATCTGGGTCACTGAGACCGGATGGCCCGTCAGTGGCAAGACATATGGTAAGGCCGTTCCCTCTACCAAGAATGCTCGCACATTCTACGAGGATGTCGGTTGCCCTATGTTTGGAGATATCAATGTCTGGTGGTACACACTCCAGGACTCTGCTCCTCAGACTCCTAACCCCAGCTTTGGCGTCATTGGTTCCGAGTTGACTGAGAAGCCCCTGTACGATCTCAGCTGCGATGAGAAAAGTAAGAAGAGAACTCTGGTCAGCCGCAACAACGATGTGTCTGGCAACGTTGAGCACCGCTTCGTCAGCCCTTCTTTCGTAACTGGTAACTATACCAACGGAACTGTGCCTGTAGTGCCTGGCACTCCCACTTCTCTTGTGCCTACTCCCTCTTCTACCTCCGGCAATGGTGGCTCTGCTTCAACTCCTTTGCCCGGCAGCGGGGCTCAGCAGCTCAACTCAATGGGCGCCGCTGCTGTCGCATTCATTCTTGCCGCTGCTCTGTTGTAAGCGGAAGTTTTATGAAAAACTTATGATTTGTTGTATATAGAATCGGAATTGGTAATGGGCATTGGGACAGGACATACAAAAGGCGCACATGAGTATATACATATGAGCACATGGTTTACCGATGAGTCGGCATGTGTATCCTATGAGAATTGAATAATATGAGTTCTACACTTTCGAGGCATCGTTCGACCGTGACATCCATAATTAAATTGATAGCAAGAAAGGATAAGGGAAGCAAGTTGAGCTTTGCGTGATGGACCTCGTAAGGGAAGAATACCCTTACCATATTGTCACTCCTATACAGATGCTTACTTCTGATAACACCTACATTGGGCTTGCGGTTCCTGTGAGCTAATGATCACTTGCACCCCTAGGTATCTCCTAGCCAATCAGAAGTCTGATGCAGCTGGGAAGCGGTTAGGAGGTACCCCCCATCAACAATGTTCGTGATGAGATTACACTACTGAGTGTTCATATATACTTGACCACAGCTTGCCAGTGGCAAGGTACCTTAGGTCAAAATCTCTCTGCTCTCGCGATCTCTTCCCTCCTTTCTTCTCCAGCCATCAACATAAACGACAACATCATTATCATCATCATGATCAGCAACAACAACCGTAAGTTGACGGTCCCTTCATTTGCCCGGGCTCTTGACTTCTTCGCTTCACTTGTTCCCTCATCTGGATGTATTTGTTACTGCTGCATTATCCGTTATGTACACGCCTTCCTTCTTGTCGTTCCAGTCACCGTGTCTCATCTCGCGATCTCTTTGGAGATCCCTTCATTCACTCTCAACTCTTGTTATCACTTGATCTTTACAGATTGCTAATATATATGGTTTCTAGGCGTCTTTAAAAAAGAAAATGGCTTCCGTAAGTTCACTCCTATCTCACTAGCAAACATATACTGACTATTTTTCTATAGACACCTACCACTACTCCAGTCGTAAGTATACTCCAAGGTCCTTTCTATCACTGCAATATCTCCTCGACACATTCACGACATCTCCGCGACATCTTCCCATTGTTTTCCACATACTGTCCCGGCGTCATCAGACATCTTTCGCAACACTCTCGAAACATCCTCACTAACATAGTATCTAGAACCCGCCTGCCAAGGGTCCAGAGGGGGGCCCAACTAGAGACGATGGCGCTGTGGCTGGGGGCGAGGCCCCAGCCACGAAGAAGAAAGGACGACTCTTCTGCTCGTATTGTCGTAAGGCAAACCATACCGTGGACACATGCACCAATGTTCATAAGTACTTATCCCACTATGCAAGTTATGCACATACTAATCTTTTGTAGCTGGCACTATCACTATTCTTCGGGGGTGGGAACCCTTCGGTGGCCCCTCCGGGCACCGTGCTCCGTGTTGTAAGTTCAACCTTCACCAGATTTTTGGCAACTTACTAATCCATATATACAGGCGACTGATCGAGTCGAGAAAAACAAAAAGAAGAAGAACAAGCACAGAGCTCAGAAGAAGCTCACAGACAAGGCTGCGGAGAAGGTCGCAAATTAATACTAAATTAATACTAAATTTACCTTAAGTCTTTTTATCCCTTAGGATAAACATCCTAAGTTTTCTTGCCTTCCCTACCTAGCTTGACTATTTTATTACACAAGAACATGTGTAAAATATCACAAAATAACAAATTATGTTCTTACTTTAAACAGCTATTCTTCTTTTTCCCAGACAGGCATATTCTATTAATCGCTTTCCCGTAACTATGTCATCCTCAACTAAGTCATCAATATCGACTACTTTGCCCACCAAGCCAACCCAGTGCTGGATTCAGAACCCGTGTCATTATTCCCAGCTACGACTGATGTGGGAAACCATCAACAGTCTAAATTGACAAATGTCCTTTATGCTGTCACTACACCCTCAAACAAGCCGAAGCTCCAGAAGTCTGGTCAAGGCTGGCGCCCTCAGGAGAGCTGTCACGCTCTAAGCACAATGACCAAGTCTTCGGAGATAAGGACAAGGCTGGAGAAGGGAATGAAGGTGACACTGACCTCTCAGGACAAGACGATGTCAAATACAGCTGGTCTGAGGTCCGTTGTGATAGGCCTTTTGGACTTGGTACTCTGGAGGGAGGGTTGTTGCGACAGTATCATGTCCCATCTACTGTGTGGTTATATGATCCCCAAGCTACCTAGGTATCTTTGAACTGGCCTTGGCTCAAGCAAGGTAGTCTCATCGCCATGCTCCTATCAACGGCAATAAAACTATTGGGGCAAAAAGGTTGGAGCTTACAAGGGAACAATACTCAGGGAGAGTCGATTGATATTAGTATGGGCTTCTTGAGAAGAATAAAAGCTCTACTTGAAATAAGAAGTAGTAGCTATTTTATAGCATTATATGTCTTGGATGTTCTTATGTGACAAATGTGGTTAACAACCAATGTCAAATTTCATTCAGCTGGGCTTTTATCTTATCTGCTCGCGTGACCAACATGAGCGAACCAGAGCAACCTACCTTAAGTAAGGTAGTCAAGATGTTGATTGTTTCTATAGCCTGATTAATATAGTCACGGTCCATCGACATCTGTAGGAATTTAGTTAAGAAATCATCCCATTCAATTGCCCTCGGTGCTCTGTTCCGTTCCAGGTAAATGCTTGGAAGCCCAATCTTGCAGGCCACCACGTCTACGAATATAAGTTTTAAGACCATTTTAGGGAGTATTGTCATAGTTTAGAAGAGTTTTCCTAATGTTTAGTTCATTGAGTTCTAATTTATATATAGGGTCCTAAAGTCTATGATGATATTCTCATAAAGTCATTAAATTATTACGACATTGGATACTCGGAAATGCACCAAGCTGAAGATTTTTACTCTTTTTTCTTGTGCTGTGGTGAGGGCGTCAATAGCTCTGGAGCTCCCCTGCATGGAGTGGATACTTCAGCCTTCAGCCCGGGGCGCAACATGCTCATTGGCCGACGCATCTTGGCATCCAAGCCCCTCCCCCTGGCTTATCCGATCTGCCTCTAGCCTAGGAATATCCCCATTTCATCCCCAGCTTCAACTTCAACTTGGACTTGGATTGAAACAACACAAGCCAAGTCGAGTTGTTCTTTTTGACCTCTTATTTCCGTTTTTATTCTTCTTGAACAAGGCCACTCGCTCCTTTGCCTTGGTTTTGGCGTCTTTCTCTTTTCTTATTATCTAACAACTAAGCTGTCTTGGTTAAGGACACATATAGACATGACGCTCACTCGTAGGAGCGTCGTTTGCTCGGCTGTCTGTCTTGCACTCCTTGTCGGTCTTGCATATGCAGGCCATGACCACGGCCATGCCGAAACTGTTAAAAATGCCAATATTGACAATATGAGTCTCGAGGAGCTCGACACTCAACTCCTGGTACGCCAAACTTACCTCTCCCTCAGAGCGTCTTGTCCTGACCCAGTCCTCTAGACCTGCCCAATTGTCGAGCAACTCAACGCCGCCAAGCACGCTCACCACGCCGCTGCACCCTCGTCGATGACCTCGCGCCTCTTCGCCGTTCTCTTCCCTGGCTCACCCGCCGTCAACGCCCTACTTGCGACCCTCTACATCTCCGGTCCACCCAACTTCCTTCTCGCGCTCTGCCCGACCAACATTGATCCTGCCTCTCTTTCCGTCATGGTTGCTTTTGCTGTGGGCGGTCTTCTCGGTGATACCCTTTTCCACCTTCTCCCTGAGATCTTTGTTGGCGAGGACCATGATGAGGCTGTCAAGTTCGTGCTTGTCGAGCCTAACCGTAACCTTGTGCTTGGATTGGGTATCTTGGTGGGTTTTATGACATTCGTCGCTATGGATAAGGGTCTACGAATTGCTACAGGGGGAGCTGGTCATGATCACTCCCACGGACATGGTGATGCGCATGCTCATTCTCATTCTCATAATGAGGATAAGGCTGTTTCTTCCGGTGTTGATGCTACGGATAGCCTTGTCAAGTCTCGCAAGAAGGGTAACGAGGATAAGGGTGCTGTTGTTGCCAATACTGTTGAGAAGCCTGAGAAGGAAATCAACCCTAGCGTCAAGCTGGGTGGCTACTTGAACCTTATGTATGTTGATCTTACGGGGTTGATCATTTGAAACTGAACTAACATCTGCAGTGCCGACTTTACACATAACATCACCGATGGCCTGGCCATGTCTGCCAGTTTCTATGCCTCGCCTACCATTGGAGCTACCACTACTGTAGCAGTCTTCTTCCACGAGATCCCTCACGAGGTTGGCGATTTCGCTCTTCTCATCCAGTCCGGCTTTTCCAAGCGAGCTGCTATGGGTTCACAATTCATCACTGCCTTGGGTGCTCTTCTCGGTACTCTCATTGGTATTGCTATTCAGGAGTTTGGCAGCCCTAGCAGTGACGTCCCCATGGGTCGTAACGAGGGTATCTGGGGAACTAGCCTAGTAAGTTATATAAACACTCGCATCCCGGGATAAGTTGCTAACTCGTTGTAGACCTGGGGCGATATGCTTCTACCCTTCACTGCTGGTACATTCCTCTATGTTGGAACCGTTGCCGTCATCCCTGAGCTTCTTGAGACTGGCCCCAACAAGGCTAAGGAGCTCAAGAACATGCTCATTCAGTTCACAGCCGTGGCTATCGGCGCTGGTATTATGTTGTACATTTCGTGGCACGACTAGGGTATACGTGAGTGGATTGCATATGATGAGAGCTGTGTAGTAGATGAAGCGGGTGTAGATGTGAGTTTGAGATATCATGAGTTTGTCAGGCGTCGTTTGATAGATGTCTTTTTTCACGGGGGTGAGTGTGCCCGAGTATAGCAGTTGAAGTTGATTTGATCTACTCCTGATTGTTCAAGAGTCCGGGAAATAAATTATTATTCTTATGATGAATCTATACAATCGAGGCTTAAGTTGAAGCCTAAGAATTATAAAGCTAGTAGCGAAAAATTACTATGCCCTCGGTTTATGTGTTCTGATTAATGTCTGGCATCTCAATGATAGGATTAGGGCAGTTTGTCCCCTCCTTTACAACCTCCAATCACTCTTGTGACGGTGTGTTACATAGCAAGACTCCGAGTTCAGTATACCTGACTGATTGATTGATCAAATAAATTCATTGGGCCGGGACACTTGCCCCCTGACATACCGAAACTGCGACCCTTTACCATAAATTGAATCCGCACTTCATGTTGTCAGGAGATATCGTCATAAGAACTCTCACCTCAGGCTCAAGTTCAGGGTATGTCTCACAGGGTATTGAATTCCGAGACCAAAAAGGAAATTCTCCTCTGGGTACCTCTTTTCAATCGTCTGTCGATTGGCCACGTGAGATCTCTTATGTCTATTTCTACTACATGACATGTTGATGACAATAATGCTGTACGTTTCGCTTTATCTATTACTGAATGGGAAAGGTCTGTTCTGACATGCTCGTCACTGCTTCATTTCTACACAAAAATGTCGGCATATCCAACGTTTATTTACATGTGAATGAATGACAATAAATAATATGTGTAATGACAAGCTTATATCAGTAAATGTAACTCATCTAGCTATAGAATAGCACCTTTATGTCATTGCAGGAGTGTTTATGATTGAAGCTCTGAACGGGCTTCAGAAAAGGGTCTTGTTCAGGGTAGTAAGAGCTTTTGTTGGTCTTCTTTGGAATCATTGCCTGTGAAAAAAAACTGTAAAAGAGTTAATAGTGATTACGAATAGTTGTTCTGATTACAGAATATTCACGTAGTATCCTTTTATGCAGTGAGTGGGTAAAGTGAAGGAATTCTTTTCTTTTTTACCATGTGTCGCCACTGAAACATGAACTGGTGAGAACCTCATTAAATAAGCGGACCGAGTCAAAGACAACCCCACAAGCTCTCAATTTATCACTGATAAGAATCACTAATCAACATCGATAACTGAGCCGCAATTTCACTAACCACCACCGCTGATCAATGTTATCAGATCAACGAAATAAGCCTTTTGCTCGGCAACCGGACATCCACCATCAGCTCCTTCACAAGCCAATGATACAACAGAACCCAAGCCCCGGGATGGCCCTTGGACCCCTAAAACGGTACTTGTCGAGCAAAAAGCTCAGGGCTAGGGCATCTTCATGCACGGCGGCTATATCCATAGTATGTGGGCCGCGGGTGAGCGACGCTTCACCAGATGGAATGAGTTAGAGCCTCATTAGTGCACACGACATGGATGCTGTCAGTGAATGTGTTTCCGGTATCCGGAAAGTGGAAAGATTAGGGGGTTTACGGGTTGATGGAACGAGCGCAAGAGTCAGAGATGGAGAATGGGAAAGAAACTATTTGCCATATAATATCATCATATGGAGCAGTGGCAGTGGAGTGTAAGGTGCTTCCTCGGTATGATGCAGGGCAAGAAACCATCTACGTCTGAGCTTGCGTGTGCCTCCACGAGTGGCTCACAATCTCTTGCCCTGAGCGCGGCAATGTCATGTCGTGATAGAAACGTGGAGAGTGGATCACGATCAAGGTGAAGCCACTCATACCGAGAGTGAGCTGTGCTGAATGAGTTGGCTCTTGGCT